AAGGAGGATCATGATGCCTACAAAACAGATTTTAGCAGCAAATAAACCCTACAAGAGCCTCCAAATTGCTTACTTTTTTAGCTAGAATGGCAGAATGACCATGGACCACTAGGTTATTGTGATTTGCTCAAGTAAAGTGGCTTCCTAGGCTTCATTCATTGGCTGCCTTGTGATTCTGCCACCTTAGTCTTTTTCTTTAATAACCTTCTCACCATTAGTACAAACGCTGGTTCTTATGGCTATTTTTCTCCAGCAAACTGATTGCAGGCTATAAAGATGTTCAATAGCAATTAGGTTTTATTGTTCTCATCTCACTTATGTGTATAAGAGCCATCGAAATGTAAAATGCACATCGCCTCCAACTTAGCAATTCCCCTTCGAGGAATTCATCCTGTAGATGTGTTCACATGTGGGTGCAGGACATATGTACCCGGAGACTAATTGGCAGCATGATTTAAGATTAACAAAGCAAAGGGCACAACCTGAATACAAGATGAATTAAATAAAAACTGACGTATCCATAGAACATACAGCTAAATAAGAGCAAGCAGGGAAAGATCCATTGATGTGGGGCAACTGGTACAAAAAGCAAGGTGAGAACAATGTCTCAAGCTTACTAGCATGTGTCAGTTTTTAAAAGGGAGGACAGGGATCAAGAGTGTCGCTCAGTGGTAGGGCAATTGCCCAGTATGCACAAAGCCCTGGGTTCCATTCCCAGCACAGCCAAAAAGAAAAAAAAATACATCTATACACACACACACACACACACACACACACACAGAGCTTCTGAACCAATAACAAAAGAAATAGATAAAGGCAGTTGCCTCTAGGAAAGGAAACTGAGATGACGTGGGAGCAAATAAGAAATATTTTTACACCAGGGCTTAACTTTTTTTTTTTTTTAGTTGTAGTTGAACACAATACCTTTATTTTATTTATTTATTTTTATGTGGTGCTAGGCAAGCACTCTACCACTGAGCCACAATCCCAGCCCCAGGGATTAACCTTTTTTGTTTACCCTGAGTTTACAAATTTATTTAATGAGTGTATACACATGTGCACATGCACACACGCACAGAGAATAAAGAATAGTCATCAATGCCGAGTGTGGTAGCACACACCTGTAATTCCAGCTATTCAGGAGGCTGGGGTAAGAGAATCACAAGGTCGAGGCTGGCCTCAGCAATCTAGCAAGACACTGTCTCAAAACAAAAAACAAAAAGGGCTGGGGGTGTGGGGGTGTGGTTCAGTGGTAGAGTGCTTTCCTAGCATGTGTGATGCACTGGGTTTGATCCTCAGCACCACATAAAAATACATAAATAAATTAATCAAATAAAGGTCCATTGCCACCTAAAAATATTTTTTAAAAGGAGGAGGTGGGCTGGGGATGTAGCTTAGTGGTTAAGTGCCCCTGGGTTCAATTCCTAGTACCATAAAAAGAAGAAAGAAAAGTCATCAAAGAATGAGCTATGCCAAAGTTATGTAACAGTGGCACCTACTGGTAAAATCACATCCTATCTCAAAGTATACCTTTAAGAAAACCCATTATTTTCCTGGTATAGCTATCTCAACTATTAGTCAGGAAATGAGTTTATATTAAAACCTCATAAGGAACTCTTTGCTGGTATTAGGACTTCTGAGCATAAGATTTGAAAGTACCATCTGGCTAGGAAGCTATGGTTCATTATGGTTTGATTCAAAGCTATAAAAAGGCATGAAGAGCTGGGTGTGGTGGCACATGCCTATAATCCCAGCCACCAGAGAGACTGAGGCACGAGGACTGCAAGTTCAAGGCCAGCCTCAGCAACTTAGTGAGGCCCTAAGCAACTTAGCAAGACCATGTCTCAAAATAAAAATAAAAAGGGCTCAGGATGTGACTCAGTGGTTAAGTGCCCCTGGAATCAATCCCCAATACCAAAAAAAAAAAGGCATGAAGAATCTGTATCCTACCATGGGATTATCTATAGCATATAATGTTGTGGAAAGATCAAAGCAGGAAAAAAAACATGGAGAGTTTGTATCACTTACCTAAGAAGGGGAAAGGTCAGAGAGAGATACGGGTCTTACGTGTGTGTGTGTGTGTGTATTAGTTGTAGGTGGACACAATACCTTTATTTTATTTTTATGTGGTGCTGAGGATCAAACCCAGTGCCTCACATGTGCCAGGCAAGTGCTCTACCACTGAGCCACAACCCCAGTCCCCCTTACTCATATTTTTTAAATGGAAAGATAAACCAAGAAAAACAAAAGAACAAATGGTTATCATCAGAGAAAGGAGGGAACAGGAACAGAAGTAGATTTCTTTAAGTCAGCACTTCTCAATAGGGCAATTCTGCACCTGCCCCCAGGAAACTGGAGGTATTTTCAGAGTTGGGGGATGGGGTCCTACTGGCATCTAGCGTCTCACATACAACAAAGAATGATCTGATCCAAAATGTCCACAGAACAAATCATATATCTGATAAGGAACTTGTGTCTAGAATACATAAAGAACAACTTACAACTCAGCAATAAAAACAAAAATAGCCCAATTTGAAAATGGGCCAAGGATATGAATATCCAAAGAATTCATACAAGTGGCCAATAAGTATCTGAAAAGATGCTCTACATCCCTGGCCATCAGGGAAATGCAAATCAAAGGCACAAAGAAATGCCACTTCATCTGGACTGGGATGGTTATGATCAAAAAGACAGATAGTAACAAGTGTTCCCAAGGATGTGGAGAAATTGAGACCCTTGTTCATTGCTGGCGGGAAGGTAAAATGTTGTAGCCTCTTTGGAGAACTCTGGAAGCTCCTCAAAGGAATAAATATAGAGATGCCATATGACCCAGCAATTCCACTGCTAAGTGTCATGAAAATATATCCACACAACAACTTGTACATAAATGTTCACAGCAGCATTATTTGCAATAGCAACCCAAATGTCCATCAACAGATGAATGGAAAAATAAAATGCATATGTCCATACAATGGAATATTCATTACCCATAAAAAGAAAAGAAGTGCTGATACATGCTACTATATAGCCAAATATTGAAAGCATTAGGCTAAGTGAAAGAAGCCAGTCACGAAAGGTCACATATTTTATTATTCCATTTATATGAAAGGACTAGAATAGGCAAATCTATAAACATAGGAAGTAGATTAATGTTTGCCCATGGTGGGGAGTGGTGGAGGACAGGAGGCTTGGGGATATCAACTATGGGGTAGGAGAGTTTCTTTTTGATGTAATGAAAATGGTCCCAAATTGATGCTGTGATAGTGACACAGATCTGTGAATATGCTAAAAGACAGACACTGGAGCTGGGCAGACAGTGCATGCCTGTAATCCCCGCAACTCAGAGGAGGTTGAGACAGGAGGATCACAAGCTCTCAGCCAGCTTCAGCAACTTAATGAGGCCCTAAGCAAAATAGCAAGACTTTGGCTCAAAATTAAAAAAAATAAAAAGGGCTGGGAATGTGGTTCAGTGGTTAAGCACCCCTGGGTTGAATTCCCAGTACCAAAAAAGAAAAAAGACATTGGGGCTGGGTATGTGGCTCAAACGGTAGCACACTCGCCTGGCGAGCACGGGGCGCTGGGTTCGATCCTCAGTACCACATAAAAATAAAATAAAGATATTGTGTCCACTTAAAACTAAAAAATTTTTAAAAAGACTTTGGATGGCATATTTCAAAGAGATGAATTTCGTTGTATGTGATGATATCTCAATAAATTGTTAAAAAAAAAAAAACAGTCATGAACTGGGTTTGTGGTTCAGCAGAACACTTGCCTAGCATGTGTGAGGCACAGGGTTCGATCCTCAGCACCACATAAAAATAAATGAAATAAAGATCCATTGACAACTAAAAAAAATATTTTAAAAAATCATATTTGGTGTAGTTCTACATCACACACAACCAGAGAAGAATGAGAAAGTTATGCTCCATTTTTTGTATAATGTATCAAAATGTATCCCATCATCATGTATAACTAATTATAACATATTAAGAAAATTTATTTAAAAAAAAAAAAACACAATCACAACTATTGGTGAGTCGCTTGTTCTATTAGAGGTGGGTGCTAAGCAGCCAGGACACAATTGTGTGCACACAGGTAACTGGTGAGCAGGCAAACTCAGGCCAAGCACAATCGTGAAGAGCTTGTCTTATTTATTAGCAGTGAGCGTGGCCAAAGAAGGCAGAGGCAGGGAAAGACACGAGGTCAGGAGAAGCTTCTCAGGGTGAATAGAAAGTTTCTGATAACCAAATTGTTGCTTTAGCTAAATTCTTCATTGGTTTTATTGAGATCAAAAGATGGGGGACATCTCAGGCTACATGTGTTCAAACATGAAACCCAAAGCATGGGAGGAATTGGGATGCTATGGGACAAATGAACAAAGCAGCGTGTGACAGATCACAACAGCCTTTGGGGCCCAGCCAACAATTCTGCACTGAATATTTTAGGGGGAAAGGAATTGGCAGAACATGAGGCCCAGCAGCAGAATGGTTGTCACTTTTGTTTTAGAAAGATAGATGGCCACCAATGTGGAAAATAGACAGACCGGGGATGAGTCTAGAGACAGGACAGCTCATTTATTTATATTAACTGTTATAAATTGTTGTCACAGCCAATTTAATCCTTTCCTAAACATTAAGCTTGAAAGCTACTACAAAGAGAAATCAGTCCAGGACTGTATCTTTTCTTCAAGGCACAGCTGACAAGATAGACAACTGTGAACAAAGCCGTTTGATATAAAAATAATAGATAATAATAAATTCATATAAAAATTTAAATGTTCTGGCACTGTAAGGAAAAAATAATAATTGCCCCTTATGAGCTTAGGCAAGAGCCAGAAATGAAATGACAATGACTGGACCCAGAAAGATCAACAGGCTGAAAATGGAATGTAGCTCAATGGTAGAGTGCTTGCCTAGCAGGTGTGAGGCCCTGGGATCCATCCACAAAAATAAAATAAAATATCCCAGAGAATATTCCAGAAAGATAAACAAGTCACTTACCATAGGAACTAGGGCATTTGGTTCAAACTCTGTGGAATTAGCATCTGAAAATTAAGAAAAGAGTTCAGTAATTTACCAATATTGCTAAAAATATTTAAGTGATAACTTTTTAAATAAATGTTTATTAGACTTACCTTTCAAATCAAGGCAGTTTCTTGCAAACTCTATCACTGCTAGTTGCATCCCAAGGCAAACTCCTAGTTTAAAATGCACATATATACAGAAAATGAACACATTTTGTATTTATTCACATTTTCCGCTCATTTGTATCTGCTTATCTCCTCCATCTAGAATGCAGACTCCAAGAGAGTAAGACTCCCTGTTTTGTTCCCTGCTGTTCCCTACTGTCCCCTCAGTGCTCAGAAAAGTCCCTAGCAGAACCAGGAAGGGGGTTAAACTACTAAGGATCTACCTTAGGTGTACACAAGAAAGCATTGGAGAACAGAAAAGAGGGCAAAGTTCTAGAAGCTTTCCACATCTCCACCTAAATCAAGGTAGGTGTGTGGGTTGCAGAGCCACCTCAGAGGGCCTGATTTCTTCAGAGAATATTTAACAACAGTGATTTAAGAGGGAGGTTCCCTGGGCTGGGACTTCACAAGATTTCATAGCCAAAATACAGGTGTGGCCTGAGGGCAGCCTCAGGCCAGCCAAAGGGCTAGTATTTAAGGAACCTCAGGCTGCTAATCTGCAGAGCAGTTGTGGGGACTGGCACCTGTCCTGTGGGTGTGAGCATGGCAGACGGTAGGGAAGGAGACACAAAATGGAACTGAACAGGAACTCGATGATGGCATAAGGCTGAGACCTGTGTCACCCAAGGCCTGTTGCCACTGGATGCCCCCCAAATCCATCTCCACATTTACTACAGTCCACCAATTCTCTCCATTAAACAAACACCAAAGGCTGGGGATATGGCTCAGTGGAAGAGCACTGTGGTAAGGCCTGGACTGCATCCCCAGCACTGAAATAAATAAATAAATAAAATGCCAAGAAGCACTGCAGATGCTGTTATAGACACATACAAGGTATCCAGGGGATGGAAAGCAGGAAGAAATCAATACACGGGGCATGCCAGAACAAAAGTCGATAAGCAGGAAACAGCTGAGTGCTCGGGGGACTCCAGAAAGTTCCATATGGCTGGAACATAAAGAGCTGCTGTGTTCAAGAGAAACCTAAAAAGACTCACAAATCATTCTGTTCGGTGAAACTTATCTTAGAAATATTAATCATGTTTAGCTGGAAACCAAGTTTAAATAGAAACATCAAAAGAAAACAAAGGCCCAGATGAGCTTAGACCAAGGTAAAACGAAACAGGTATCAAGATAACTGATCCTGTCTTCTCTTTTGAAAAGGGATCCCAAGAGCAGAGAGCCTAGGAAGCTAATCACAGAATTTGCAATGGGAAAAATAGTCTGCTGATAGTAAAAGGCAGCAAAGTCTGTCCAATCAGCTCATAAATCTGTCATCCAAAGTACAATGGAAACTAGGCTTCTCCACCCACACCCCCCCACCACATCCGACGCCTCCAACCAGAATCCCCAGCCGCAGGGTTGCCTTTAAGCACATCAACTTCCCATTTCATCTGGCTTCCTGGTACAGAGCCATGCTTTCTAATTTGAACAAGACCATTAAAAACACCCAACACTATACTAGACATGGCGTCGAGCATCTCTAGTCCCAGCTACTTGGGAGGACAAGGCAGATCACTTGAGCCCTGGAGTTTAAGGCCAGCCTGGGTAACATAGTAAAATCTTGTCTCTTAAAAAAAAAAAAAAAAAAAAGACTGAATAGGCTCAGTGAAGCACTCCAGTGAGACCACATCTCAAAATAAAAAATAAAAAGTGGGGGATGATGTGGCTCAGTGGTTAACTGCCCCTGCTTTCAATCCTGGGCACCAAATAAACAAATAAACAAAAGGCCAGAGGTGTGGGTCAGAGGTAGAGTACTTGCCTAGCACGTGCAAAGCCCTGAGTTCAATCCCCAGCACCAAAAAAAAAAAGAACCTGACCACCAAATTTTAAGAGTTGTTCCTATGACACTGGTTGCCCTTTCTCTATTATCTTTTCTAGAAATAAGCATATACATTTCAACTGAAACATACTTCCTTTCTAAACAGGAAGATTACTATAGAGTTCCACTGAATGGCTCTTTGCTTGATGTGGCAAGAGAACAGGTTGGAGTGGGAATCAGAGGTCAGAGCAAGCACAGACAGACTTCTCCCAGCCTCTTGCTACCCAGAACTTGCTAGAACAGTGGCAAGTTCTCCTAAGGGGGACAAACTCTTTCTGTAAAGTACCAGACAGTAAGATTCTGGGCTTTGCAAGCCATAGGGTCTCAAACTGTCATTCTACCACAAAAGCAGCCATGGACAATATGTAAAACAAACTGGTATAGTAGTGTTCCAATAAAATTTTATTTACAAAAATAGAGCCAAGTGTGGTGGCCCACGCCTATAATCCCAGGGACTCCCATATAATCCCAACAATTCGGGAGGCTGAAGTAAGAGGATTACAAATTCAAGGCCACCCTCAGCAATTTAGTGAGACTCTGTCTCAAAATAAAAAATTAAAAGGTCTAGGGATATAGCTCAATGGTAAAGCACCCCTGAGTTCAATCCCCAGTACCAAAACAAAACAAAGATAGGCTATGAGCCAGATTTGGCCTGCAAAATAAGAGTTTGCTAACCCCTATAGCAGACTATTTGGTGCCTGAATATTCAAACCTAAGTTCACATCTTCACGATAACCTTATCGAGTGTTACCCCTAATAGGTGTCAAAAAAATCTAATTAAGTCATAGTCAGGATCAATAAATATGAGTTTTACCTAGAAAGGGAATCTTCTTTGTCCTTGCCCAAGAAATTGCTTGGAGTTTTCCCAATGTTCCTCTGATTCCAAAGCCCCCAGGCACAAGAATACCACTGAAATCAACATAAGAGGAGGGTAAAGTTGACCACCCATTATTTTTATCTTTAAACCTTGTGTTTTCAGCCATTCGTGCTTACTAGTTCCAAATCCAAAAAACTATACTCAAGTTCTATTTTCAGAATCGATTACATGATTTCATATCCTGGACTTTCTTCTTGAAATCCTCTCAATGCTATGAAGAAGTTATGACAATTTCACACCAGTGACCTTGATATATATTTTTTCTGATAGCTCTTTGTGGCATCTGAACGTAATAACTGGGAAACTCAATCCAATAAAGAATGCCACTGAAGGCCAGGGTTAACCGGATTCTAAGGCTAAGTACTGCCCCACACCCCCCCCCTCAAAAAAAAAAAAAAAAGACAAAAAAAAATCACTGGAAGAAGAATATGAATGAAAACGGTAAGGTTCTTTTCAAAGCCCTGTTGTAAAAATGTTAAGCTCTCCTGCATAACCAGAAAGAGCTAAACTGGTAAAATCAGCATAAGATTTCAATTGCTAATTAAATAGTTATAATGAAAATATCCTGGCTGGAGGCCATCTAGTCATTCAGGTGAAAAGACTAGAAGCATTCAAGACAAAAACCGGCAAGGTCATGCTACCTCATGATACAATGCTGCCCCCAAGAGTTCTGTCCATTACTTGTGAAATAAAACCTAGAAGCAAAACATGCAGAAAAGCAAAGAAAAATCAAGGGAAAAAGGTTGTCATTCTTGTCCTGTAGCTTTGTGTATGTACTATTCATCTCTGTATCTTTTGGTAGAATCAACACACCTTCCCTCTATTACAGTCTCCCCATCCTCCCCAAATAAAACTATTTCTGTTGCACACTCCGCCAACATTAATCTGGCGCATTTCAAAGCAATATTGGATGCAGCACAGCCACCTGTGAAGACAGCTATTTTAAATTACCTTTCAAAATGCACAAAAATTAGTAATTGGAGTAAATGGAATAATTAAAGGAAAAGCCATTGTGCGAACAGCCCTGGTACTCACTCAGCTTTGCATAGCTTCTGCCAAGCTTCATGGAATTTCACAGGGTCCTCGATTTTGGTGATCTGTTCCAAATCGATGGAGTCTATGTACTAAAAAAAATCCAACAGATGAAAGGAAGCTTTAAGAAAAATAAGCACTCAAAAATACTAGAACTGTCTAACATTATGACACAATTATTCAATAATTCCAGATGCTGCTCAACTTGTGATGGGGTTACAGCCTGATAAACCCATTGCAAGCTGAAAATATCATAAATCAAAACTGCACCTGACCTATCAAACATCATAGCTCAGCCCCGCCTTCCTTAAACAAGCTTAGAATATTTACATTAGCCTATAGTCATCTATAGGCAAAATCATCTAACACAAAGCCATTTTATAATAAAGCATTTAATAGCTTTTTATCAAACACCGTTCTGAAAATGAAAAACAGGGTAGTCATATGGGTATGCTTTCACCCCATCATAAAGCTGAAAAATTATAAGTGGAATCATCATAAATCAGAGACTGTGTACTCATTATGCAACCACAGCACTGGGGCTGGAAAAAGATGCTCAGTGTTTTGTGGCTCGTAATCTTTGCAAAGATTACAAAGCCAAATAAACAGACATCTGTACTGTGGTGGGATCATGGCTAGGAGAGGCAAAGAAGAAAATGCTTCAAATAGGAACCACACCTAACATATAGGCGAACACTGTAAGAAAAAAAGGAAAGCCTGCACAGTAGCGAGTCCCAATAACTCCAGAGACTGAGGCAGGAGGATGAGAGTTCAAGGTCAGCCTCAGCAACTTAGAGAGGCCCTAAGCAACTTAGTGAGACCTTGTCTCAATATAAAAAATAAAAAGGGCTGGGGATGGTGCTAGGGTTCTGGCTCAGTGGTAGAGCACTTGCCTAACATGTGTGAGGCACTGGGTTCAATTCTCAGCACCACATATAAATAAATAAAATAAAGGTCCATCAACAACTAATAAAAAAATATTTTTAAAAGGGCTGGGGCTCAGGCTGGGGTTATGGCTCAGCGGTAGAGTGCTCATCTAGCACGTACAAGGCCCTGGGTTTGATCCTCAGCACTACATAAAAATAAATAAAATAAAGGTATTGTGTCCAACTACAACTAAAAAAATAATAAATAAATAAATAAATAAATAAATAAAATAGGGCTAGGGCTCAATGATTAAGTGCCCCTAGATTCAATCCAATTCCCTGGTACCAAAAAAAAAAAAAAAAAAAAAATTTCTGGAGAGATGATATCTAAAAAGCTAAGCACCAAGAATAAGCATGTGTGTGTGTGTGTGTGTGCGCGCGCGCACGCTAGGAGGTGACCAAGAAGGTGTTCAGGAGATGAAGGAAGGAAGGGAGAAGGCTATGAATTCTCACAGAAAAGAAAAAGTGCTGATCACTCACTCTGCACTCTAAGACCCTCAAAAGAGGCTCTGCCTAGCCAGAGGAAAGATCTGATTGGTCAGAGGGAAGTAAATGATGAAGCTGAGAAGCCATGACAGTGTTTTACACATGAAATTACTTGCAATGGACTGAATATGTGTCCCCAGAATTCATATGTTGAGACAGGTGCAATGGCACACACCTGTAATCCCAGCGGCGGGGAAGCCTGAGACAGAAGGATCACAAATTTCAGGCCAATCCCAGCAATTTAGCGAAGCCCTAAGCAACTTAGGGAGACTATCTCAAAATGAAAAAATAAAAAGGGCTAGGGATACGGCTCAGTGGTTAAGGCCCCTGGGTTCAATCCCCAGTACCAAAAAAAAAAAAAGACCAAATTTCATATGTTGAAATCCTAACTCCCAATATGATAGTAGTAGATATCTTTGGGAGGTAACTAGGTCATGAGAGTAGAGCCCTCATGAAAAGGATTAGTGCCCATATAAAAGAGGCCCTAGAGAGCTCCCTCACCCCTTCCACCAAATGAGGATATTACCAGAACAGGATATTACCATCTACAACCTGGAAGAGGCCCCTCACCAGAACCTGACTCTGCTAGGGTCCTGATCTCAACTCTCAGCCTCCAGAACACTGAGAAATATATTTCTATTGTTCATAAGCCACCTAGTCTGTGGTATTTTGTTATAGCAGCCCAAACAGACTCAGATACCACTGAAGAGTCTTAAGTAAGAGGATGACAGGAACAAAAAGAAGAGAATTTAGAAAGATCACTGGTACAGCATGGAAAAGAGAGGGAAGACTGGTGTTTAGAAGCCAGTGGGGAAGATATTCAGGCTATATATAATAACCACACTTCTGCTATTCCATAATAATGATTTTTAAAACAAATAACCATTGTTTACCAGGGACTATTCCTTCAAATCAGAAAGGGCAATACAGGCCAGACAGGGTGGCACAGGCCTATAATCCCAGCAATTCAGGAGGCTGAGGCAGGATGATTACAAATTCAAGAACAACCCAGCAACTTAGTGAGGCCCTCAGCAACTTACCAAGACTCTGTCTCAAAGTAAAATAAAATAAGAAGGGCTAGGGATGTAGCTCAGTGGGAAAGTGCCCCTGGGTTCAATCCCCAGTATGAAAAAAGGAAAATATTTTAAAAATCTGTATTCTATCCTACCTAATGCTAAAGAGAAAGGAATGTTCTATTATTTTCTTGTTAGGTAAATAAAATGTGCTTAAATGAGCATGAAATACATGTTTAACTGGCTATGCAAAGTCTAATTTCAGAAATGTGCCTTAAACCTGTATGCATAAAAAAGCTAGCACAGAAGACATAACCATTATCCTTGGAGAGGACTACTTAAAAGATTGACCCTTGGTTGGCATCTGGAAGCGTGGATTTCAGAAGGGTTCCCATCATTCCAAGAACTGATAAGAGTGGCTCTTTGTACCTAAAGTGTTTGTTACAAACAACAAGATTTACTCTGAGTACATGGTTCCCTCCTACAGGGCTGGAATTCAGGTACATAGTAAGCAGAGAGTACTTACATAACCAACCCTCAATAAAAACCCTGGGCACAGGCTGGGGGTGCTAGCTCAAGGGTAAAGCACTTGCCTAGCATACAAGAGACCCTGGGTTCAACCCCTAGCATCCCAGAAAAAAAGAAAAAAACCTGGGCACTAAGTTTCTAATGAGCATCTCTGGTAGAGAACATTTCACACATGTTGTCACAAGTCATTGCTGGGGGAATTAAAAATTCGCTCAATCTGTGAGACTCCACTGGGGGAGGCTTGCACCTGGTTTCCCCAGACCTCTCCCTTTGCCAATTTTGCTTTATATTCTTTGGCAGTACATCTTAGCCATCAGTATGACCTTACGCTAAGTCCTGTGAGTCCTGGTCCATCTGAGTGTGGTTGCAGGGACTCTTTGGCACAACCTGCCCCTTTGGAATGCAAGGTATTGGACTAAAGGCTAACATATCTAGGAGACCTGGTCTGGACTCACCATCAGATTCAACTTGTGATTGATGGCCAAGGCTGAGTGTTCCAGGGCCTTAAACACGGAAGCGTAGCAGTCTCTGAGTTTGGTATATTTACCAACCAGGGCTATGGAACATGTTTTCTGTAATCTTTCATACCTGAGAAGAAAGACAAGCTCAAAGTTTATATGCATGTCATGGAACATCATTAAAAAAAAACAAAAAAAAAAAAAAAAAAAACAGGCTAGGTGTGGTGGCATACGCCTGTAATCCCAGCAGCTCAGGAGGCTGAGGCAGGAGAATCTCATGTTCAAGCCCAGCCTCAGCAAAAGCAAGATGCTAAGCAACTCAGTGAGACCCTGTCTCTAATAAAATACAAAAAAGGGCTGAAGATGTGGCTCAGTAGTCAAGTCCCGCTGAGTTCAATCCCTAGTACCAAAAAAAAAAAAAAACAGCACTGCTCCAATTTCAAGGCACTTAGTACTTAATAAAATCTTAGGAGCAGGGCTGGGGATTTAGCTCAGTTGGTAGAGTGCTTGTCTTGCATACACAAGGCACAAGGCCCTGGGTTCAATCCCCAGCACCAAATAAAAAAAAAAAAAATCTTAGGAGCAGATAAGGCTCATGCTTGATGAACCCGAGTCAAATCTCCCCTCCAAAGCACCAAAATCTCCTCACCAGGTTTCAAAATCCTAATAAATGCCAATGTTGGCTTGTATAAGCAGGTGCAGATATAAATCTGTGAAAATTTAAAAGCATTCAAAACAAGACATTTAAAAAGCTATCTCATAAACAAGAGCTGTTCATAAATTAGTTTATAAGGTGACATTGAATACGAAAAAGCATTCTGCTTGTCAATAGAAAACATTCCTATATTAATTTCATAAGGTGACATTGTATAAGAAAGTGCATTCAAAATGTCTCCATTTTAAATTCTTGCATTCCCAGCTGGCTCACAAATGTCTGTGTATTCATGCCATGCCTGAAGAATGGTGCTAAGAGAACTATTTAAAATATTACAAGCCATTTAGATCATTTTTATGAGAAAGTTCCATTCTATAGAAGATGCTCAATCACAATTCACCATTAGAGACATAATCCTTCATGTGGCTTTCATCAAGAAATCTGTTCAAAGAACAAGAAAAACATGTGACCTGGTATTAAGTAGGTGGAAATGTCATCTTGGGGCTGAAGATGTTTGGGGTCTTTGATGTGGCCCTTGCACTAACACCTCCCAAAAATTCCATGGTGAGAAATATCTTTCTTCTATACAAGAATACCAGGGCCAAAAACAGGTTGGGTGGAGAAAAATGCTCAATAAGAGGTCAAAACTTCCAGAAAAATACTTCCTTTTGTTTGTTTTGGTTTTGGTGGGGGTTTTTTGTTTTGTTTTTTGGTACCAGGGATTGAACCCAGGGGGTGCTTAACCACTGAGCCATATCTCCAGCCCTTTTTTTAATTTTTTATTTATAGACAGGGCCTCACTAAGTTGCTTAGGGGCCTTGCTAAATTGCTAAGGCTAGCCTTGAACCTGTGATCCTGCTGCCTCAGGTTCCACAGCTGCCAGGATCACAGGCATGTGGCACCGTGCCCAATTTAGGAAAGTACTTTCTAGGAAGGTGACTGAAGTACCTACAGAAAGCTGCTAAACCTTGACCTCCCTGCTAAAGTTTATGTTGCTCTGGAGATTCCATAGCTACACACATCTCATGCCATCTCTCCCTAAGGGATTCAGATAACAGAAAGCTAGTTGATAGGAAGCCAAGTATCAGCAATGATGATGACTTCAGAGGCAGGTGACCCACACCTGGGTCCTGGCAATCACAGCTGCCTCTGCACAGCAGGTTGGCTGGGCCTTACTCCTCCTCCCTCCTCCAAAGAGAGGAGGGGCATCAGCTCTGCCCTGGGAAGGAAGCTGCTCCAGCTGACTCCTCCTTTGGCTCTTTCATGTCTGGGCTTCCCAAAGAAGGAGGAATCACTTAGTGGTGGCTGGAACGGGTGAGTCCATGGGTCACACCTCCCAGAAAGGGGGCTGCTGTGCAGGCAATCCCTTGTGCCCTTTTTCCCTCTTGACTCGCCCTTCCCAGAACAGCCTGGTGTGCTCCACAAAGCTAACACCAGGGGGTACAGGCAAGCTTTGGGTAAAACTATAAGCTGCTGCAGGAACAGAAGAGGGAATCCACTTTGCAAGCCTATCCCCAGGCAGGTCCCAAAGCCAAGAGGGGTGCTCCACGAGCTTTCCTTCCAGTTTAACCAAGGACCCCTGGCACCAGGCATCACTAGGCTTCCATCATTGAGGCTGCTCCTTTGAATAAGAGTAGTCAGGGAACAACATCTAAAGAATGGACATTCTAGTCAGGTGCACTGGCTCATGCCTATAGTCTCAGCTACTTGGGAGGCTGAGGCAGGAGGATCACTTGAGCCCAGGAGTTCAGGGCCAGCCTGGCAACATAGTGAGACCCATCTCTCAAAAAAAAAAAGAAAGAATATGGCTAGGCACAGGGCCGCATGCCTGTAATCCCAGCAGCTTGGGAGGCTGAGGCAGGAGGATCTCAAGTACAAAGCCAGCCTCAGCAACATCAAGGTGCTAAGCAACTCAGTGAGACCCTGTCTCTAAATAAAATACAAAATAGGGCTGGGGATGTGGCTCAGTGGTAAAGTGTCTCTGAGTTCAATACCCAGTACCAAAAAAAAAAAAAAAGAAAGAAAGAATAGGAACTGGTGGTGGAACTCAATGGTAGAGCACTTGCCTAGCATGTGTGAGGCCCTGGGTTCCATCTCCAGCACCACAAAAAAAGTGGATATCCTACATCACCATTATCAGTTAACCAATATCACAGCCCATGTGGAATTATCAACATCTCCTTTGAGTAAAGACTATGATAAAGCTAATGGTGCCCACCTAAATAATATGTCCCCCTTATGTGGAAAAAGGGTTTTTGTTGATACAACTAAGTTAGGGATCTCCAGATGAAATCATCTTGGATTAGGGTGGGCCATAAATCCAACGACAAGCATACTTCCAAAAGAAGAGAATGGGAGAAGACACAAGGGAAAGGGTGATATAAACACAGAGGCAGAGATTAGAGTGTTAGGACCATATGCCAAGGAACATCAAGGATTGCAGGAAGCCACTAGAAAGTAGAAGAGGGGCATGGGACAGATACTCCAGAGTTTCCAGAAGGAACTAACCCTATGGATATCTTGATTTGGAACTTCTGGTCTCCAGGACTATGAGAGAATAAATTTCTATTGTTTAAAGCCACACAGGTTATGGTACTTTGTTACAGCAGCTACAGTAAACTAATACAAAGACCAAACATTTGGCTTTAGAAAGCATATAAGCACCCAGGCATGGTGGCACATGCCTGTAATCCCAGCAACTCAGGAGGCTAAGGCAGGAGAATCACAAGTTTGAGGCCAGCCTCAGCAACTTAGTGAGAGCCTTTCTCAAAGTAAAAGATTTTAAAGTGGGGGTTGGCCTGGGGGTGTAGTTCAGTGGGAAAGAAATGCTGAGTTCAATCCCCAGTACCAATAATAATAATGGTAATAATAATAGAAATCAGGCTGGGGTTGTGGCTCAGCTGTAGAGCACTCGCTTAGCACTTGTCAGGACCTGGGTTCGATACTCAGCACCACATAAAAGTATTGTGTCCAACAACAACTGAAAAATAAATATTTAAAAATATTATAATAATAATAAAAGAAAGTTTAGAAGCATAAAGCTATTTTCAATAAAAGAGTTAAATACTAAAAATCCTAGTGCTAAAGAGGATCAGCTCCAAGCTACTCAGAAAATTCCTACAAAATGACAGATTCTTTAAAGCTTTCTAGAGGGCAGAGGCTTGATTATATCATTATTTATTAGAGTACCTAAGTCAGAAATTTTGCATTATTCTTGATTCTACTTGCCCCAGAAAGTCTAAAGCAGTTTCGGGGCTGTTTGTTGTTGTTGTTGTTTAAGTGAAAGTGGTGTGGGGGTATAACTCAGTGGCAGAGCACCTGCTTAGCACAGAACCAAAAAACGAAAAAAAAAAATATTTAAGTGAAAGGGCAAGAGTATTTCAGTCTACCATACTCAGTGATTTTGTCACAGTCAAATAATTTTAATTATGGTTGCCAACATCAGCAACCAATACTTGGTGCCTGACTCAATGTGAAGTCCTGTGTTTTCTCTCGTTAATTCCCACTAGGTGGGTACTGGTAGGCCCCTGATATGTATAGATAATATGATGAGCCAAGAGAAGTGAAGTAATCTACCCAGATTTACAGTTAGTAAGACAGCCAGAGTCTGAATCCAGAATCTACTGACCTAAGCTGCATAAGCAATCAGATAGCCTGTGACTTGTAGAGTCACACCTCAACTGCATTGAAGAAAAGAAAACAGGGTTCTGGGATTTATTTTTAGGACTTGAAATTTAAGCAAACTTGGCTTAAATTAAAATAGTTATATTAAAGCTAAAACCTGTCAGGAATTTTAATAATGATATTAACTAGTTAATAGCTGCAGAATTGAACATTAATGGTAATAGCTGAAACTTCCCACTCAACAGGATTTTCTTCAGGAAATGTTAGCCAAGTCTTAAAAACAAACAAAACAGAACAAAAAGCTTGCAACATTTAAAAAGTGTAAAACTTCATAAGGAATAAACTAGCCCGGCATGGTGGTACATGCATGTAATCCCAGCTATTGGGGAGGCGAGGCAAAAGGATCACAAGTTCAAGGCCAGCCTCAGCAATTTAGCAAGATCCTGTCTCAAAATATAAAATAAAAATGGGCTGGGGATATGGCTCAGTGGTAGAGTGTTCTTGGGATCAATCACCAGTACTGAAAGAGAGAAAAGAGAGAGAGAGAAAAAAGGGAGAAAGAGAGAGAAAAACAAATAAATAAAATCCTAGGGGTGGGGTTGTGGCTCAGAGGTAGAGTGCTTGCCTTGCATGTGTGAGGCACTAGGTTCAATCCTCAGCACCACATAAAGTAAAATAAAGACACTGTGTCCACCACTAACTAAAAAAATTAAATATAAAAAAAATCCTTCCTGGGGCTGTAGCTCAGTGGAAGAGTACTTGCCTTGCACATATGAGGCACTGGGTTCGATCCTCAGCACCACATAAAAATAGACTAATAAAATAAAGGCATGCTGCCCATCTACAGCTACAAAAATTTAAAAAATAAAAATAAATAAAAATTTTAAAATCCTTCCAGAATTAAAAATATTCCTTCTAGGTAAAAATTCCTTCAATTCACTTTGGTTTAAGTAATGCAAAAATCAAAGGCTCCAGACATTTTCAGAGTACAGGAATTATTAAAGATTCTATAAGTAATTCCTTTCACATACCTGTCAGCCATATTCTTCCACTTGAAAAGCAAATTGCTTGAAGAATCACCAATGGGCAGGTCCAATCGCTCTTTAAAGTATTTAACAATGCCTTGTTCTTCCAAAAGCACAGGCACTCGGTAGGTAGAAGAAACATCATGGATACATATGACCTAATCAATAATAATAAAACACCACTCTTAGATAGATCGCCTCAAATGTGCCACAGAAATGAGACAAAACTCAAGAGACTGGCAGTTTATTTATATTGATATAAGAAAATGCAGTAACCTAAATGAGAGTCAGAATTAATACAAGGTGAGTTTGATTTAATAACAAAACTCTTTGAGTTCATTACTCTACTTCCAGAACAATGGGTATCATGTTAAAATAAAAAGTAAATATACAGCAATATCCACGGATTCCACATATCTGATGGATATAACCAACCATGGATCAAAAATACTCAGAAAATAATATCTGCATCTGTATTGAACACGTACAGACTTTTTTCTTGTCATTATTCCTAAACAGTATTGCATAACAACGATTTACATAGTATTTGCATTGTATTTGACATTATAAGCAACCTAAAGATAAATAAAAGTATACAGGAGGATGTGACCAGGCACAAAGGTGGCTCATGTCTATAATCCCAACAGCTCCAGAGGCTGAGGCAGGAGGATCTGAAGTTCAAAGCCAGCCTCAGCAACTTAGTAAGACCCTGCCTCAAAAGAAAAAATTTAAAGAACTGGGAATGTAGCTCAGTGGTTAAGCATCCCTGGGTTCAATCCCTGGTACAAAAAAAATTTAATTAAAAAAAGAGGATATATGTAAGTTATGGGCACCATTTTATATTAAAATAGAACTTGAGCCCCACAGAATTTGGTATCCAGAGGGGTCCTAAAACCAATCACTTGAAAATGATGAAAGACAACTGACTGATATTTGTCCCCAGTTCCTGGTACAGCACTTGAAAAATCTTCAGAGTTTCCTGAGTAATAGAGTATCTTTATTATGCAGCTGAGGTGACTCCCGGTGCCCCTAGATAGCTTCAGGATGAGAATGGTGACCAGAAAAATAAACCAAGTGATTAGAGGACTGGAACTTTCAGCCACCAGCCTAACCTGTGGGGAGGGAAGAAGTGGGGGGGGGGGAAGAAGTGGGGGGGGGGAAGAAGTGGGGGGATGGGGATTGAGTTCAAACACGTGGCCAGATATTCAATCATGCCTACATATAATACCCCAATAAAAACTTTGGAAGAGCAAAGCTTGTAGGGGAACTTCCCAGTGGGAAACTATATAAAGGTACCAAGAGGGACACACACCCTGATTCAGCAAGTCCTGTGCCTAGAACTTTCCTAGACCTTACCCTTTGCATCTCTTCATCTAGCTGTTCATTTGCACTTTTATAATAAAATAGGAACTATAAATACAGCATTTTCTGAGTTCTGTGAGTTATTCTAGTGCACTATCAAAGAAGGGGATCACGGAAGCCCCAAACTTGTAGTTAGCTGGCAGAAGCTCGGGTGGCTTGGGAACAATGGAAACTTGCATGAAGTGGGGTGGGGGGGTCTTATAAGAAAGTGAGTCCTTAAATCTGTGGCATTGGATGCTCACTCTGGGTAATTAGTATCAGAAGTGACCCTGTACTGTTGTCAGAGACTTGGTATTAGAATGTAGATGCTTTATAGATCAATATCCAAGATGCACTGTCCAAGCCACCATCTTTTACGTGTGAGTTAAAGCAGTCGCACTGAACACATGCACCTTGTCTTCTAAGTGTGAGTATATAGTTTATTTGTCCCTTCGTTTATTGTCACTGCTACTATAGTTGCTTCTGTCTGTAATCTTGTCCCCTGCTCCCTTCATTTGGGTACATTTGCTGGTGCACATTGACCACAGTAAAATTAATTATACCTGTTAGAAGAGAAGAATACTTTTAAATAGCAGCTGATATCTGGCTGTGGTTGTTTTTCACATTTACCCTAATGAGCTTTCAACAGCCTCTCAAATACATCCAAGGGGCTACTTGTAGTCATTTAAGGATCTGTCACATCCTAAATAAATGCCAAGAAATGTTCTGCCAACTCTGTGTTCAGTCTACCCAAGCCCATAGCTCTAAGTCAAGTGTTCTTAAGCTGTTTGAATATCATCAACTTGATACTCAGATTACAGAGCCTCTCTTGTGCATGCACCAATGCAATTCCAAGACACAAGATATCACCAGTATGGGGCTCCACCCCAATTGCTAATGAAATCTCTGCCCAGCTGCAACTCCCAAAAGTGGAAGGCATGAAATGTGGAACTATTTACTCATTTATCCTCCAGGCCAGAGAGAGACATTTTTCAAATATGGTGATGGGCCATCCACAGAGATGCCTGTGGCCCTCTTCATCACCTCCTCAGAGATACAGATGAAAACAACTTGAAATGCAGATTCACCACTACTCATGAAAAGGCTGCAATTAAGAAGTGGGGAGACTAGTTAGGTGTGGTGACATACATCTATAATTCCAGTGGCCTCAGGAGGCTGAGACAGGAGGATTGCAAGTTTGAGACCAGCTTTACCAACTTAGCAAGACCCTATCTCAAAATATATACACAAAGTACTATCTACACCAATAGGATGGGTACTCCAAACGACTGAAAGAAAACAAAAATGGTATGACAAAAGACAAAGACAAAAGAGTTCTCTATTTTTTCAAAGTAGTTCCAACTCATTTACTGACTTTGAAGCATCAGGCAGGAGGCTCTTCATCAGCCTGCCTCCCAAGATATTAAAAACCCCATTAAATGGTTTTTAGACTTCAGAGAACTCAGGGTTCATATGTAGAAAAGGTTTCTGCCAAACCTCATCCTTTGCCTGAGCACCATTATGCCACTTTATAAACTATAGCCAAGTCCCAGCCCTTGGAAACAAAAGACAATAAATAGGAGAAGGAAAGAAAAAGAAAAACTAATTTATCACAATACTCAGGTGAAAAGTTCTGCAGAACTTAGGGCCTGAGCCCAAGTCATAGTACAGTTTCTATAGTAATGCTACGAACTGAGGCCACTGTTGTGATTAGCAGAGAGAGAACAAGTGTTACTGTACTGGTGTGGCTTGGGGTGAGTTAAGCTGTACAAAGGAGAAACAAATGAAAGCAGTTAAGTGTCCAGAAGGAAAGATATGATTAAAAAGACAATTAGGAGAAGCTGGGTGTGGTGCCACACACCTGCAATCCCAACAAACTCAAGAGGCTGAGGCATGAGGATTACAAGTTCCAGGCCAGCCTCGGTAATTTAGCAAGTCTCTCAGGTTTATTGGCTGACCCTGTCTCAAAATAGTGAGAGACCTATGTGAAGTTTGTGAGTTAAAAAGCTCACAGTGGGTTTGTGCCTATAAATTAAGGAATGATGTCTAAGGAATCAGGAGACTCAAGATTGTTCACTTAAGAGTTAGGGAGCCATAGCTGGATAAGATGCCCCCAAACCTTATGTAAGTGCCCCCCAAAACAATACAATATTGAAGAGGTACTAAACTCTGGCTTCAGAAGAAGCTCGTGCAAGACAATAAAATCTGAAGGGCAGCACCAACCTGTTCAGGGTTTACGTGACAGAACATAGAAATCTTCTCCTTCACGGCCATCTCAATGGGTGTTGAACTTCGGCAGACAATCTGTCAAGGCCAGTTATGCACAGGTCAGCAAGTGGGAACTGGGATGTTCATGTTGCACTGATTTTTAGCATAACACTATATTCATTTCTTTACAGTACAAGAGATTTGGCCAGGTATGCGATTGCTCAGTTTAAAGCAGTCCACTAGACTACTACATATTGGGCTCAGCACTAATATAAGGAAACAATCAAATTCAATACAAATCTACCAGAAAGAGCTCAAAATGTCAGCACATCTCTGATGAACAGAGGCAAGGCTCACAAGTGTTGCTTCATTAAATACAAGAAAAGAGCTAGATCAGGGGTTGATGAACCTTTTCTCCAAAAGCCCAGTTGGGAACTATTTTAAATTGACAGGTCAGTCACTGTCCTGATCCTCAGCTGTGCTGCTGCGGTGCAGAAGGAGCTATAGACAATATGGAAATAACTGAGTGCATGCCAATAAAACTTTATCTCCAAGTTGGGCGCAGTAGCTCGTGCTTGTAATCCCAGCAGCTGGGGAGGCTGAGATAGGAGGATCACAAGTTGAAAGCCGCCTCAGCAACTTCAAGGCAGTAAGCAACTCAGAGAGACCCTGTCTCTAAATAAAATACAAAATAGGGCTGGGGATGTGGCTCAGTGGTCCAGTGCCCCCGAGTTCAATCCCCCATATGAAAAAAAAAAAAAAAGAAGCCAGCCTCAGCAACTTAGTGAGACCCCGTCTCAAAATAAAATATAAAGGGCTGGGGATGTGGCTCAAGCGGTAGCGCGCTCGCCTGGCATGCGTGCGGCCCGGGTTCGATCCTCAGCACCACATACAAACAAAGATGTTGTGTCCGCCGAAAACTAAAAAAAAATAAATATTAAAAAAAATTCTCTCTCTCTCACTCTCTTTAAAAAAAATAAATTAAATAAATAAAATATAAAAAGGGTTGGGGATGTGGCTCTGTGGTTAAGCACCCCTGGGTTGGATCCCTGATTAAAAAAAAAAAACTTTATTTACAAAAATAGGCAGCTAAATTGAGAACTATTATTTGCAGATCCCTGATCTAGATTATTGGTGATAACCAGATTATGTGCTACAAGGCCACACCGCTCTTTAGACTAAAATAACAGTAGTGGGGCTGGGGATACAGCTCAGTTGGTAGAGCGCTTGCCTCACATTCACAAGGCCCTGGGTTCAATCCCCAGCACCACCAAAAATAGTAATAATAATAACAATTGCAGTGATAGTCCATCTTTATCAGGGTCACAGAAAAATCCCAGGATCCCACCTTCAATCTAAAGGATCCAGGAACCACACAAATGGCAAGACCATTGCACTTGCCCAGCTGTCAATGTGGCCAATCAAATGAGGGCCTGGAGAAGAATAAATGGTCAATTTAAACATAAGGAAATAAGCCTTTCCTGGTTCCCAGATACAAAAAGCTCATTGTCATAAGGAACCATTGGATAACTACAAAGAACTTGGATGAGGTAACAGATTAAGGGCTGGGAGTGTAGTTTAGAGACAGAGCACGTGCTTAGCATGTGCAAGGTCCTGGGTTCAATCCCCAGCACCAGAAAAAAAAAAAGATATGGAGGTCCTACTCCAAGAGATTTTAGGGATAAACTTACCCACTGTGGTTAACTCACCAGATCTGGAGACAAACCCAATCCCCTCAGCGCACGGACACTGTTTTGTGTGGGTTTAGTTTTTTGTTCTCCAGTAGCACTGGGCTAAAAAGAAATGAGTCTGTCAATACACCAGACAAGTAGCCTTTTGGACAATTAATGGCTCCCCAGTTTCAAATATAGGACACATATATCATAGAAATATTGAGCAAAGTTGCTGTCCATATACTTATCTGGAAAGCCTACCTGTGGGACAAGACTGACATGGATATTATAGAAATTCTCTCTTTTTGCCTTAAACTGGAATTGTCTGAATGCTTCCACAAATGGCATTCCCTCGATGTCTCCGATGGTGCCTCCCAGCTGGGAATGGAAAACAAAAATAAGACACAAAGGACTCAACATTTTCCATTAGTCCAGAAGCTAACAGAATAATTCTTAATAATCTGAGCACAATGCTGGGTGTGGTGGTGCGTGCCTAACCCAGCGGCTCATAAGGCTGAGGCAGGAAGATCACAAGTTCAAGGCCAGCCTCAGCAACTTAGTGAGGCCTGGTCTCAAAATAAAATAAAATATAATAAGGAGGGCTGGGGATGTGGCTCAGTGGTTAAGTGCCCCTGGGTTCAATCCCAGGTACCCCCCCCCCCAAAAAAGAAAGAGCAATAGGACCACAGAGGGGGCAAGGTAAGCTACTTTCTACCAGTGGTTCCAATAGGAAGAAAAATTCAAATCCAGTGACAATATGAGAAAGGTGAGAATCACCTGGTTCTGTCTGAATTTAAAAATGAGCATTCCCTCTCTCTCTTTCTCCCACATTCTATACACACTCACATACACATGCCTACACGACTCCTTACGGTGTTGCCTATAAAAATTGAATCATCTTATTAAAACATGCTGGCTTTCTGAAACAAATAGTACCAAAAGCCCTATGAATGTTCCTTACAGTGTAATCCTTTGATAAATGTCAACTTAATTTACAATGTGGTTCCAATAAAGTTACTTAAAGCATTTCACTTAGACCAAGATAAAATTCACATTAACTCATTCATCCTCTTTATATTAAATACTTAAAGACTATCACATGGATTTGAAAATGTATTCTCCAGTATTTGAGCCTCTACTACATGCTCAACACTATAAGCAAGGTGTTGGGAAGAATTTGAGACATGTTCCTAAGGAGATCAGAATTTAACAAGAAAAGCAAGACAGGGCTCAAGAGTAAAACTTGCTGGGTGCAGTGGCACACGCCTGTAATCCCAGCAACTCAGGAAGCTGAGGCAGGAGGATGGCAAGTTCAAGGCCTCTCTTAGCACCTTTCTCAAAATAAAATTTAGAAGTCTGTGGATGTAGCTCAGTGGTAGGGCACCTCTGGATTCAATCCCCAGTACCACAAAAGAGAAAAAAATTATCATAATAAACTTGAGTACTCAGTGGAATGATGCAGATGTTGAAGGAGGAGGGATCATAGTGAGCCCAGTTCCAGATTTCACCATCGTCTCTGGCTTCAGCTACCTGGATGGATCTGAAATCTTGTAACCCTACCCTCTCCCTACAGCATTGAGTTTTGGAGCCATTGTGTCCTTGAGACCTTAGGTGGCTCAACAATTACTCTAGCTTAATGCTTCCCAAAGTAAACTCTTGTCCCCCATCAACCCCCCCACCAAAGCCTGCATTCCTTGGTGCTTCTACATCACAGCAAAGAGCATCTCCCTCTACTGACTGAATGGTCTTCTCTTCACCCAACCTAGTCTAGTGGGTCATAGTTCAAAATCTCCTGAGAATCTCTCTACCACTACCATCCTAGATGCACCCAGCTAGTATTGTCTTTTGCCAGGATAATTGTAATAATCTAAACCAGGGGATGGGTAAACTAAGGCCCAGTGCCTGCTTTTATAAATAAAGCCTGAGTGGCACACAGCTATGCCCATTATTTTTGTTTTTGCAGTGCTAGAGATCAAGAGATCCTTACAAATACACAAATGCTTTGTCAGTCAAGTACACCCCCATCCCTGCCCATTCCCTTACATATTGTCTAAGGCTGTTTCACACTTAATGACAGAATTGAGAGGTTGTGACACAGATTCTCTGACCTGCAAAGCTGTAAATATTTAGTATCATGTCCTTCATAGAAAAAGGTTGCAGACCTCCAATCTAAATGGTCTTCCAACTTCCACCCTGTCCCATCCTACAATGAAAGCATTTGTCTCACACCAGCAGAGTAACTATTTTTTTTAAATATTCTTTAGTTGTCAATGGACCTTTATTCCATTTATTTTTATGTGGTGCTGAGAATCGAACCCAGTACCTCACACATGCTAGGCAAGCACTCTACTACTAAGCCAAACCCCAGCCCCCAGAGAAACTTTTAAAAATTTAAAATATGGAGCTAGGAGTATAGCTCCCACCATTAGAGTATATGCAAGGTCCTCGGTTCCATTCCCAGCACAGCAAAAAAAAAAAAGATTCAAAATGTCTCTCCTGAGCTTATTAGTACCTCAGCTCGCTGCTTCACTAAAAAATAAAATCTCAACTCCTGGGGCTGGGGTTGTGGCTCAGTGGTAGAGTGCTTGCCTAGCATGGGCGGTACCCGGGTTCAACCCTGAGCACCACATAAAAAGAAATGCATTGTGTTGTGTCCATCTACACCAAAAAATATTTAAAATCTCAACACCTCCAGGCCCTTCATGATCCGGCCCAAGTCTCTAATCTTACCTGTTCCCCTAGCCCTACTGTCTGCTCCAAAATGAGCCACACTCTTTCTGCCCTTAAGGTCCCCCAGTGTCCTTCTTCATCTACAGCTTGCTCTTTTTTTTTTCTTCAGCCAGAAGAGAGATGCATCCCTCAGTAAAGCTGACCCTGAACACCCACCAAAAGCAACCTGCATCCCCACAAGGCCACATGCCTAGCACCCAGCATGGTGCACTGAGAGATTAGTGATTGAGATGTAACATAAATTCTAAGTAAGTGTTCTAGTGAACTGTTACCAAAACTACAACAGAATCAAACTAAGAAGTCTAAGACCACCCTGATGTGGAAGAGATTATTCCTTACTAACTTTAATTCAAATAACAAAACATAATTAAAATTCAAAATTCCTGAGTATGGAAAGAATAAGAATATATGGTCAGGTGCAATGGCACACACCTGTAATCCCAGCAACTCAGGAGGCTGAGACAGGAGGACCACAAGTTCAAAGCCAGCCTCAGCAACTTAGCAAGGCATTAAAGCAACTTAGTGACACCCTATCTCAGAATTAAAGAAAATAAAAATGGTTGGGGATTGGGCTGGGGTTGTGGCTCAGTGGTAGAGCACTTCCCTAGCACCTGTGAGGCACTGGGTTTGATCCTCAGCACCACATAAAAATAAATAATAAATAAAATAAAGGTGTTACGTCCACCTACAACTAAAACAATATTTTAAAATTAAAAAAAAGGTTGAGGATGTAGCTCAATGGCAAAGCACCCCTGGATTAGATCCCCAGTACCAAACAAACAAACAAAAAGGAATAGGAATATATGATATGACCTTTCTGTAAGAGAATCACACAATTATGAAACTCCAAGTAGCAAAAACATATCACATGCAGGCAAGAATTTGGTGGGGATGGAGAGTGTAAGAGCTCACTCACTACAACACACCAGATTTTAATAAAAACGATATTTTTTGAGAAGAGGTCTGCACTTGAACTGAAACCATGTGCAGATATCTTGGGGGTTTTTTTCTTCTTCTTTCTTCTTTTTTTCTGAAGTGCTGGAGGAGGCACCCGGGACCTCACATATGCTAGGCAAGAATTCTATCACTAAGCTACACTCCCATCCCTTTTCTGATTGTTAGTGGGAGTACTCTAGGAGAGAATGCGAAGAGGCCAAAACTTTAAAACTTCAAACATTATCCACGCCTGCCCTCAAGTGGCCATTGCTGGTACAGCATTCTCTCCACCAACTGGGCAGTTCCCTTTCCTGTGCCTCTGGGTCAAGGTCACCACTGTTCAGAAACCTTCAGTTCCTCTTCTGCAGGGTTTCACTTTCCACAGTTTATTACCTCTAGTCAGCCACAGCTCAAAAATATTAAATGAAAAACTCCAGAAATAAACAGTTCGTAAGTTTAAATTTTTATTATAATATGTTGTTATAATTTTCTATTTATTATTAGTTATCACTCGACCTTTTACTGCATCTAATTTATACATTAAAACTTTATTATAGGGCTGATGCTGTGGCTCAGTGGTAGAGCAATTGCGTAGCATGTGTGAGGCACTCAATTCAATTCTCAGCACTGCATATAAATAAATGAATAAAATAAAAAAATTTTTTAGATGTTGATGAACCTTTAACTTTAAGTATATATGTGTAGGAAAATACATAGTACATACAGAGTTGATACTATCTGAGGTTTTACACATCCAAGCTAAGAATCTGCCACACATAAAGGGAGACTACTAGATTAAAAATTGTTGTTGTTTTTTTTTTTTTTTTTTTTGGTACTGGGGATTGAACCTAGGGGTGCTTCACCACTAAGCACAACCCCAGCCCTTTTTTTAATTTTTTCATTTTGAGGCAGGAACTCGCTAAGTTGCTTAGGATTTTACTAAATTGCTGAGGCTGGCCTCAAACTTGTGGTCCTCCCGTCTCATCCTACCAAGTTGCTGGGATTACAGGCATGCACCACCACACCCTGCTCTTAGATTAAAAACCAAAGCAGCAGCAAATTTATGGATGTGCAAGGTTGGTCTTCTCTTCATTGAAGAAGTCACATCCATCCTTGCATCCCTGGCAGCTGTCACCAGGCTAGTACATATTACGTGCTAAATGAATGGTTGCTAAACTGAAAAAGTAAATTCAAGGGCAGAATAAGAAAAAAATAAATAATAAAGAACCTAGAAATGACAAAAAAAGGAATAATGTGCCAGGTACAGGCCTAAAAATGCTTGCTGCTTGTTGAGATGGAAACTTCAGTTTAATTTGAGATGTCCCTGAGGATTCTTTTGGGGTGGGTGCAGGGATGGGGTTTGTCTATATTGCCTAGGCTGGTCGCCAGCTACTGAGCTCAGACAACCCTCTGGCCTTAGCCTCCAGAGCAGCTGGGATTACAGGCACTTGCCACCACACCCAGCTTTGTCAGTAAGAATTCTTTCTTTTAATTTTTAATTTTTTTTTTATATTAGAGATTAAGCCCTGGGGAACTTAACCACTGAGCCACATCCCCAAGCCTTTTTAGTTTTAATTTTGAGACAGGGTCTAAGTTATTGAGGGCCTCACTAAATTGCTGAGGCTGGCCTTGAGCTTGCAATCCTCCTGCCTCAGCCTCCCAAAACACTGGGGTTACAGGCCTGCACCACTGCACCCAGCTGTCACTGAGAATTCTTTTTTTTTTTAAATATTTATTTATTTATTTATTTTTAGTACTCGGCAGACACAACATCTTTGTTGGTATGTGGTGCTGAGGATCGAACCCGGGCCACACACGTGCCAGGCGAGCGCGCTACTGCTTGAGCCACATCCCCAGCCCCCAAGAATTCTTAATTCTATTATGCAAGTGGAAATGTCAACAATTAAAAGTCTAAATCTACAGTATACTTCTTTATAAAAAGATGACAAAAAGAGTGAGGTACACTGGCCCCAGAATGAAACATAAAAGTTTAGTTCAAAGAAGATTCTCAAAAACAATAGCCAGGGGTTCGGGCTATTGTTTGTTCATGCTATTGTTTGTTATTCATTGATAGCATGCTTGCCTAACATTCACAAGGCTCTGGGTTTATCCCCAGTACTGCAAAATAAATAATATAAAATTAGAAAGGAAGAATTTTATCTTTCCTCAGGGAAAATTAGGAAGAAAGAAATACCCAATGAGAGAAAATTTTGTGTAACACTCTACATTATGTATTCATATTATATTGATCAGTCATATTATTACAATAGTATAATATATAGATAGTATAAATGAATGTACTATGTCATATATTAAGTTTATCAGCTGTACTACTAACAGCGGATCTTCTACATAGCGTATTATCAATCTGCAAAGGCTTATATAACGATAATAACAGCCAATATATTCATATATATATTTTGTTTCTGAGATGGTATCTCACAATGTTGCTCAGGCTCACCTTGAACTCACAAGCCTGCCTCAGATCTCAGGTAGCTGAGATTATAAGCATGCGCCCAGCTGGCTAGAATATTTTGTGTCTGTGTGTGTTTGTGTGTGTGTGTGCATGTGTTACTAGGGATTGAAACCAGGAGTGTTCTACCACTGAGCTACATCCCCAGTCCTTTTTTTATTTTTCATTTTGAAACAGGGTCTTGCAAAGTTGTCCAGGCTGGCCTCAAGTTTGTAATCCTCCTGCCTCAGCCTCCTGAATAGCTAGGATTATAGGTATGTACCATTGCACCTGGCCTGGTTAATGTGTGTTTACTGAGCACTTCCTAAATGCCAGATAAGGCCAAGTGCTTTATACTATTGCATTTAATCTTCAACAATCCTTTCATTATCACCTTGCTATTACAGTATTACATATTATCATATTATTATCAATAAGTAATGTGCTAAAAATTATATAGGCATCCTAATACTAGCTAATAATTTTGAGCACTTCCTATATCTCTGACACCATTCTAAGCACTAGGTATAGTGACTTAATTATGAAAACAATAAGTGTTATTTTTATTATTATGCCCATTTAGGAAATGAGTGAACTGAGACAGAGAAGTTAAGCGAACTTGTCCAAGATCACACAGCTGGCAAAAGACCCACCTGGGCTAACCCAAGTAGTCCAGCACCAGACTCTCAACCACTAGAATATATCACCTGGGGCTGGTGTGGTGGTGCACACATGTAAACCCAGTGACTCAGGAGGCTGAAGCAAGAAGATCACAAGTTTGAGGCCAGCCTCAGCAAATTAGCAAGACTCTAAGCAACTTAGTGAGACTGTCTCAAAATACAAACTAAAAAGGGCTGGGATGTGGCTCAATGGTAAAGCACCCCTGGGTTCAATCCCCAGCACCAAAAAACGTCACTTGGGGGGGTAGGGGGGTCACAGCAGAAATTTGAACCTGAGCAGTCTGACTCTAGGAACAATACTATCCAACATTCTATTCCCATGCCTGATAATTAGATTAACTGACATTTAGATGAGATGGACATAAATGTAATTCTCACTCTGCACATGAAAAGGAGGGGAAGAAGGTGAAAGCCATGCCAAGTGCCCAATTCAGATACTACTTTCTTTCTTCTACCTCCCTTTCTTTCTTTATCAGTTGATACTTACTTCTCACCTCTACGGTCTAGCTTGCCTAATTCAGTCGACTTCCAAAGCACTTTACAAATATTTTTTCAAATAATATGTACTAGGATACATTCTGTTGTGCATGGAACAGGCTGTCTGCAAGCTCCTCAAGGACAGAGACTGTGCCCATTCCAGGCCCTGGCCCTAACACTGACTTGATCAGTTAAAGATCTGTCTCTACATGCAGATCACTGCACACCCACCACAGGAATGCATGCCACTGTTTGTCTAATGACAATCTTGTGCACTGACTTGTGACCACAAGGGCAGGGACCCTCTATGTTGTTCCTCCCTACCTCCTGGCCTAGTGTTCAGCACCCAGGAAGCCACCTGTACACATATGTTGAATGAACAAAGATCAGATGCTTAAAGACCCAGCAGGGTGTAAGTTTTTAAAGAAAAGTTCCATGCTTACCTCAATAACGCATATTTGGGGCTCTTCCTTATTACCATCCACAGGCACCTTGGCTTGGTTCATAACCCATTCTTGGATAGCATCAGTAATGTGGGGGACAACTGCAAAAAGAAGTAATAACAGCTTATTTCACACTCAAGAGAAAGGGAAGTACTTTAGAACTCTCAGGTGATCTGAAAGTCATCTGTCAAATTAGACAAGCTGCAGGTCTCATGCTTCCTTTACTGAAATGAGCAGGTACTGATGTAATTTAGGTTGAGTCACCTAAATGTTAGGCCTTTTCTTTTGAAACTGACCAGTCACAAAAGAACAAGACACAGAAAGTACAAGTGGCATCTGTGATGAAAACACCTATAATGCCTACTAAGAACCATGCAAGGAGGGATGCCAAGCAAGCTGAACGCTATACTCCACTGGGAGGGACACCCAGCTGGGGCACCAGGGGAGGCCACCAAGGTCCACTTCAAGAGCATGAGGGAAGCCTACCCACTGACCAGGAACCCCTGCAGGGGTGAAGAGGCCCATGACTGTTAATGTCAGAGGAAGAGGTCAAAGGGTGCATGTTCACCTACACTTAAAAACCAGGGGTCCCATAGGAGGTGAAAGGCCTAAAGTTGCTGGTCTCAGCTTTGAAGAAACAAAAAGGTGACCTGTGCACAGGTTCACAGAGACTCAACCTCCTAACTTGATGCAGGAAGTAGAAACGATGGAATCTGGGAGGCTGAAATGAAGGAACAAGGAGTTCCAACTAGCCCTTAGGCTACATTGAATGAGAAAGTTGCCTGATTGGTGAACTCGGAACCATCCACTGCGCACGTGCGCAGTGGGCCTCCACCTGGGGGCTAAGAAGTCAGAGCTCACAGGGCCCAAGTTAGGAGCCTTGCTCTCTCTCATCTTTGGGATGTGGCAAGTGTGAGGCAGCAACTCCACCTCCAATGGATCTTCCCAAGACCGTCACTTGAGGAAAAAAAAAAAAAATCACCTCAGAAGCACAATTTAGCTGAGGTCTAAGCACACTGCCCTGTTTCACAGCTGATCTTCTGATCTCCAACTGTCTACTGCTCAACTGGCTCCAACTTGAAGATGATTTAAAGGGGATGGGAATTTTCACCTCCATAGGAAAATAAGGATACAAAACTCCAGAGGGGGGCTGGGGCTGTGGCTCAGTGATAGAGCGCTTGCCTAGCACATGTGAGGCACTGGGTTCGATTCTCCGCACTGCATATAAATAAGTAAATAAAGATTAAAAAAAAAAAAAAAACTCTAGACGGTACCAAAAGGGTTCCTTCTAAGACAAAATAGAATCATCCCACCCAGGAAAAAGGTTAGTAGAAAAAAAATGTCAGGAATCTGCAGATGGTGCTGCCTGACACTCCAGTTCAATCCTTCTATCCCTCCCCAGTGCTACTCCTCTTCAAACAGGCGTGATCACCACCCATGCAAATTATAAGAAAAATGAAGAAGAATATATTAAATACAGATACATTAAATAAAAGACAAAAATAAGCTTTCCAATTAAAAAATAATTAAATGGTTCTCTGTAGATTTTCTGAACCAAAGCTGAAAGAGGGAAGAAGGGATGGGCTAAGGGGAACAATGACATTATTTTTGAAAAAAGAAGAAAGAGGAGGAGGAGGAGAAAAGAAACACTGATGAAAATAAAATCAGTAACATGGGGGGAGGGGTAAACTACATTTTTATGGAAAAGGGAAAAAAAATAGAGACTTCAAAAGGATTTGAATTTATGGAGCTTGGGGCCCAAGACATTTTTGCTCTATTTTTGAGCAGCCTGCTGGTTCTTGACACACAGGGTTCCATATTGTGTATGGAATACCTTGAACTGTTCTCCCCAAGTAATCACCACGCCTCTCTTTATTGATCACATGCTGATATATCTTCCCGGTGGTGATGTTGTTGTCTTTATAAAGGTTAATATCCAAGAATCTTTCATAATTTCCAAGATCTAAATCAACTTCTCCACCATCATTTAAGACAAATACTTCACCTAGGATAAAAGGCAATGTAGAAATTGATTACTTTTCCAAGATGGACACATTTTTATTAAAAAGCTGGTAAAAACTGTATTTATTAGCCGTATTCTACTATCATATTCTTATTTTGATGGGGAAATTTAAAATTTCAATTATATCTATGAAAATGCATTAGAAAAATTCTGGTATTCTATCATAGTATCTTTTTAGTCGCACTGAAATTCTGTCTTCGAGATTTAGCTTTTCCAAACTCCTCAGGTACCACTTGAAAAGAGAATTTTAAAACAGCAATTTTGAAAACAAATAGCAATTTACTTCAAGGCAACCATATCCTGGTCTCTGGAATTGGCATAAGGATATTCTCCTTGATTGTCATCTGGTTAAAGCCACTATTAGATGGTAGACAACAAACTCACAAAGGTCCATGGCTAGCCCATGGGAAAACTTTGTGAAATTAGGAAAAAGACCAGTGTGTGTACAATAAGCCACCTGCACAACAGCATTGTGACAAAGAATCTAGATATGGACTTTGTCACACTGCCTTTACTACTGGGTAGTCTCTGGATCTCCACTGTCACTTGAGGGTACTAATTGGGAGTTAGATGTTCTAAAGCCATCTTGTAAGAACTGAACCTCTCCCTAATCAAGAAACTCTCCTTTACTCCTACTGCTAGATGTTCACAACAAAAAATGAAGGCTGCCTAGTTTAGGAACCTAATCAAAAACTTCATTTACATCTTCTTCATAAAATACATAAGTGTGACTGGGAAGATGAACTTAAGGATCAAAGAACACAACATGAAATTTAAATATTTTTATATTTTCCAAATTCCAGTTCAAATTCAAGTTCTACTCTCTCATATTCATCAGGAATCACCAATCGATGGAAAAGTATTCCCCCTTTGATCTGTGTTCTTAACTTCCAACACATTCTTTGGGGGATGGGGGTGGGAGTGCACAACCTCTGAAATTTCTTCAATTACTTCACGTTAAATCCAGGTTGGCAAAACTCCATGTATATGTCAAAGTCTCAAATGTCCAAATTACCAAATGTTAAAAATATGCACATATTATATTCTTAGAAAAGAAAAATGAACTATAAAAACAGTTTTTTAGATATGTCATATAATAAAATTCCAGTAGATTTTATCTTGACAAAGACACTGAAGTTAATTTGGAAGAAAAATAGGTGAGATTACCAAAACCAAAAAAAAAAAAAATGAATATACCCTATAAAGAATCCTAGTGAGGATGGACAAAGTGGCACACACCTGTAATCCCAGCAGCTCAGGAAGCTGAGGCAGGAGGATGGAAAATTCTAGGCCAACTTGGGCATTTAGCAAAATCCTGTCTCAAAATTAAAAATAAGCACCAGGCATGGTGATTCACTCCTATAATCCTAGCAACTTGGGAGGTTGAGGCAAGAGGATCCCAAATTCAAAGCCAGCCTTCAGCAACTTAGCAAGACGCTTTTTCTTTTTTATTTATTTATTTACTTACTTATTTTTTACATTAATCTACTCACACAGTCATGGCAGCAAGGCCCTTTTTCTAAATAAAAATTAAAAAGGGTCGTTGGGCTGGGGTTGTAGTTCAGTGGTAGATCACTTGCCTAGCATGTGTGAGGCACTGTGTTCAATCCTCAGCATCACAAAATAAATAAATAAATAAAATAAAGAATGTTTGAAGTATGATATTCCCTTAAAAATGCCCCCCCTTGGGGAATTGTTGCTCAGTGATTGGGCACCCCTGGGTTCCATCCCCAGTATCCAAAAAAAGAAAGAAAAAGAAAACAAGTAACCTCCAAGTCTCCCAACTTAGAAAACATATTTATTTCTCCCTCATGAGGGACTGTGGGTTAGTTGAGAGTCTATTCTTTATGTCTCCTCTTTCCAAGACCCCTGATGAATAAGAAATCCCTATACAGAGCAAGCTGTTCTCATGGCAGATGGCAGAAGCACAAGAGAAACTGAACCAAATCGTGCATCTGCATTTAACATTTCTCCTTCGACAAGGCATGTCACATTTGCTAATGTCTCAAAGGGCAAAATAAATCACATTGCCAAAGAGAATGACCAATCTCTTCCATTAGCCTAGGACTAAGGGAGTTTCAGTTTTAAAGCCTGGAAGGTTCCAAACAAAACAGGAGAAGCTAGCCACCCCAAGTGGCCAAAGTCTAACGTCTAGAGGTGGGGAACATACTCCACAGAAGGATGTTGGGTGATCTATTCAAACAAAAATACAATCTCTAGACTTGAGTAAGTCATTCACAAGATCAAAATCAAAGAAATCTAAATTAAAACAACAAAATATTTTTTGTTTGTTTTACTGTCAGGTTAATAAAGTTTAAAAATAATATTCAGCAAGGAGATAAGGAAATTGACATTGTTTCACGTATGGTGCAGATTCACAGTCCTCATCAGAAAATCCTTGGGAACAAGATGGATGTTGGAATTTGAACTTTTTGGGATTATAGAATGTAATATAGAACATGTCCCATATATTAGAAAATACTCCATAGTTGCTGAGTGTGGTGGCACATGCCTGAAATCCCAGCAACTCAGGAGGCTGAGACAGGAGAATTGCAAGTTCAAACCCAGCCTCAGCAACTTAGCAAGGTCTTCAGCAATTTAGTGAGACCCTGTCTCAAAATAAAAAAGTAAAAAGGGCCAGAGATTTGGCTCAGTGGTCAAGGGCCCCTAGATTCAATCCCTAGTACCAAAAAGAAAGAAAGAAAAATACCCAATGGGCTATGGGTGTAGCTCAGTGGTACAGTGCTTGCCTCCATGCTCAAGGCCCTGAGTTCCATCCCAGGCACTGCCAAAAAAGAAAGAAAGAAAGAAAAAATAATAATACCCCCATAATCAAATACATTACAAATGAAATAAAGTGAAATAAAATCTATAAGGCTGGTAATATAGCTCAGTTGTTAGAGTGCTTGCCTCGATTGCAACAAGGCCCTGGGTTTGAACCCCAGCACCACAAAAAAAAAAAAAAAAGAAAAGAAAAAAATCTATAGCCACAAACAAATAAAGAGTTTTCAGAAATTTTGACTGCCAGGCATGGTAGTGCATACCTATAATCCCAGCCACTCTAGAGGCTGAGGCAGGAGAATCACAAGTTCAAAGCCAGCCTCAGCAACTTAGCAAGGCACTAAGAAACTCAGCAAGACCCTGTCTCTAAATAAAACACAAAAAAAGGGCTGGGGATATGGCTCAGTGGTTGAATGCTCTGGGTTTAATCCCTGGTATAAAAAAAAAAAACCCACTACAAATATCCATAAAATTACAAAGTATTTTAAATTTTCAGAACTTTTCAGACTTCAGAGTTGAAGACAAGGGATAGTGAACCTAAAAACCTTTAGCAATATACATTCTGTGGGCTGGGGCTGTAACTCAGTGATGGAGACTTGCCTAGCATGCACGAGGCCCTGGGTTCCATCCCCTGCACTGGAAAAAAGAACAAAATAGGCATTATGTATTAAAAGACTGAAAAACATCCTTACTTTTCAAATCAGAACTTTATGCACCTAGAAATTCATGCTTAAAAAATTAAATCTTATAGATTTCTAGCATGGTGTTGTTTACAATGTCAATGAATTAGAAATCATTTTCTGTTATTATATAGGTTCTGTGCAGTGTAGAATATATAAATATGTCCATAGTATATTAAATTTTAAAAATTAGATTAAAAAGTATTGCGGCTGGGCACAGTAGCCCACACCTTTAATCCCAGCTACTAGAAAGGCCAAGGTAGGAAGAACACAAGCTCAAAGTTAGTCTAAGCAATTTAGCAAGACCCTGTCTCAAAGTAAAATAAAAAGGGCTGGGGATGTAGCCCAGCGGTAGAACACTGCCTAGCATGCATGAGGCCTGGATTCAATCCCCAGTACCACAAGAAAAAGAAAAAAAAGACACAAAAAAGATATTATAACTGTAAAATTCAACTAAATTCAAAGTTTAAATGAAAGTTCAAAACCAAGTAAAATTAGCTGGGCGTGGTGGTGCACTTGTAGCCCCAGCTATTTAGGAAGCTGAGGCAGGAAGATTGCTTCAACCCAGGAGTTCAAGACCAACCTGGACAACATAACAAGACCCTGTCTCCGCCCCCACCCCACCCCCAAAAAAGCAAAACTAACGCACAGTGTCAGAAGACATGATAGCAGTTTTCTTGGGAGTTTGGGATTGAGAAAAAAAGGACACAAACAGGATTTCTGTTCCTTGATCAGAGGCTGGTTATATAATAGGTTCATTTAGTGAATATTCATCAAATCAGGACTTATGATTATGCACTTTTCTGCTTATATGTAAAAAAACGTTTTTTAAAAAATGTTTTCTCGGGCTGGGGATATAGCCCAGTTGGTAGAGTGCCTGAGTAACATTCACAAGGCCCTGGGTTCAGTCCCCAGCACCACCTAAAAAAAAAAAAAAAATGTTTTCTCTCATATGCAGAAACTAGAGCAAAATAAGGGGTAAAAGGCGGGGCACCCCATGAAGACAGAAGGGAGATCAGTGGAATAAAGGAATAAAGGAGATCAGTAGAATAAAGACAGGTGTGGTGGCACACACCTGTAATCCCAGCAGCTTAAGAGGCTGAGGCAGGAGGACTGCGAGTTCAAAGCCAGCAGAAAGCAAGGTGCTAAGCAATTCATTGAGACCCTGACCCCTGTCTCTAAATAAAATACAAAATAGAGGGGCTGGGGATATAGCTCAGTTGGTAGAATGCTTGCCTCGCATGCACAAGGCCCTGGGTTCAATCCCTAGCACCACCAAAAAAAAAAAAAAATACAAAATAGGGCTGGGGCTCAGTGGTCAAGTGCCCCTGAGTTCAATCCCAGTGCCAAAATAAATAAATAAATAGATAAATATAAGGAATACCAGTACAGCAGAGGAAGAGAAGGAGGGGAGGGAGAGATGGTGGGGACTGAAATGGAACAAATTATATTCCATGCATGTATGATTATGTCAAAATGAACTCAAATATTATGTATAACTATAATGCACTAATGAAAACATGAAAAAAAAACTATGTAAAGGCTCATACCTTTTTTGGTAATTAATATATACATCAAAATGTCAACATTAATAATAGTTACCCCAAGCAGTGGGAAATGTTAACAGAAATATATAACCTTTACGATAAAATAAAACAAAACAAAATCCATAGCAGAAGACACAATGTTCTAAAAGGGTTGGCTAACTTGGAATGTTATCAGTAATCTGAAATACTATCAATGACCATAAGCACATTGACACATTCCTAAGGCCTGACCCAGCAAGCCTACTTCTGGAACTCTGTCCTAAAGAAACAGATCAAAATACAAGAAAGAAATGCAGTTTAGAGAAGTGCTTTATAAAGAAGGAAATGATCCTTTCATACCGTGTTCGTAAGGTGAAAAAGTCCCGGCATCTATGTTAATATAGGGGTCGATTTTGATGGCAGTAACTCGGAGTCCACATGATTTGAGAATCCTCCCAATGCTGCTGGCAATGATTCCTTTACCAATGCCGGAGATGACCCCACCAGTAACCAGGATATACTTCATTGGTGAAAGAGTGGCTGGTTGCCAGCACCCAGGTATAATCTGACAGGCAATAAAATTAATAGTCAAGGAAGAGAAACATTTTCTCAAAGCATCAAAGTGCATTAAACTAGAATTTCAAAAACACATAGCATTGCATTTTTCTACTTGAACTAAATACCCGAAACTTTTGTGTAATCTAGTGGGCTTTTAATTGTTGTCACTATACAGAAAGCTGAGGACTGGGGATATAGCTCAGTTGGTAGAGTGCTTGCCTTGCATGCACAAAGCCCTGGGTTCAATTCCCAGTATCACCTAAAAATTAAAAAAAAATAATAAGTCAGAAAGCAAAGTGGCTGGCTCTATACCTTGGCCAAATGTATCACAAGAAATCAAATTTCCCTGGGAATCAGAGGCATAGTAAAATGTTTACAAGTTCAGACTCTAAAGTCAGACAGATGTATACAACCTACACATAGGCAAGTACTTGTCCTTTCCATGCCTGCTTCTTTTAAAAAAAAATTAGTTGTATATGGACACAATATATTTTTATGTGGTGCTGAGGACCGAACCCAGTGCCTCACACATGCCAGGCAAGTGCTCTACCACTGAGCCACAGCCCAAGCCCCCATGCCTGCTTCTTCATCTGTAAAATGGAATAATGATACCAAATGCTTGGAATATTATTTGATGCTAAAAAGAAATGAGTTATTGGGCTGGGGCTGTAGCTCAGTGGTAGAGCATTTGCCTTGCATGTGTGAGGCAATGGGTTCGATCCTCAGCACCACATAAAAATAAAGATATTGTATCTACCTACAACTAAAATAAATAAATAGAATAATTCTTCTCTCTCTTGCAAACTTATCCTGGTTTTTTTTTAAAAAAAAAGAAAGAAAGAAAGAAAGAAAAATGAGCCAGGAAGACATGGAGGAATTTTAAATGCATGTTACAAAGTGAAAGAAGCCAATCAAAAAAGCTACATACTGTATGACTTCAACTATATGACATTTTGGAACAGGCAGAACTACAGCAACAGTAAAAAAGATCAGTGGTTGCCAGGGAGTAGGAGGGAGATACGGATGAATAGGCAAAACATGAGGGATTTTAAAGGCAGTGACACTATTCTCTGTATGATATGATAATGGTGAACACATGGCATTACACATTTGTCATGACAAAGATTCTTTGCTTGGCCAAACTTCTGAATATCCTGTACACTTTCATGTAAAGCCAGTTTTAGCAAAGAACCCTGCTAAGTCCATTTAGCAAGAACACTGCACCCTCAATATTTGATCATCATTGATATCTGATCAGAGTCCTCATTCTGCGCCATCTCCCATGTGATGTGTGATCCTAGTCTGTCCCTCTTACTGCTGTTATATTCTTTTTCCCATCCCCTGGCCACTATGCCCCAACACCCTGCTCCTCAGGTATAAATTCCCCCTTTTCCATGCTATATTTGGAGTTGAGCCCAATCTCTCTCCCCTGATTCCAGACCCCATTAATAATAAGCCTACTGTTCCTTTGGGAAGAGGTCCTTTCACCCCTGTGGGAATGATTTGAACTCCCATCTCTGGAGTTAGTACTGCTCTGGCGGAGGCGCAGATGTCCAACCCTGCGCTCCCTCTGGTTTGTCTGATGAGGGATCTGATGGACAATGTGTCCTGGGCACTACCCTGATGGGGTTGCTGGGTTCCTCCAGTGCTCCGTATATTTGTGGTTTTGGGCCCCGGAGCATTGGGCCCCCCTGTCCATTTTTTGGCAATGGAGCCCGATGCCTTTCTCCACGATATCGTGGATAAACACCTGGTCCTTGTTCGTTTTTTGATAATGGAGTACCCTCTATGGTGGTTTGAGAACGGCATTCATTAGCCCAATGTCTCCCTCTACGGCATCGTGGGCAAATACCTGGTATTCTACTCCTTTGATACCTAGTTTTGTTAAACCCTCCTCCAATGGGGCAATTCCTTTTAAAATGTCCTGTTTGTTCACAATTGTAGCATGTTCTTGGCCTGGCATCTAAAGCCTGTTTTACTGCAGCTGCCACAATTTGCCCTTGTTCATTAATGTCTCTGGCATCTAAAGCCTGTTTTACTGCAGCTGCCACGACTTGCTCTTGTTCATTAATGTCTCTACATAATTTAATATATGTGTTTAAATCTTCATGTTTCCATGGTCTAATGATATCTCTGCACCAACGATTCGCTTGCTCATAAGCCAGGTGTTTTAGTAATGGCATTGCTTGTTCTGTATTCCCAAAAACTCTGGTAGCTGTTTGAATAAGCCTATCTACAAATTCAGCATAAGGTTCATTAGCTCCTTGTATTACCTTAGATAATTGACCTTGTAAACCTCCATGTCCTTGTAAAGTCTTCCATGCCTTAATTGCATCTGCAGCAATTTGTGCGTATACGCCAGGATCATATGCAATTTGTTGCTGCTGATCCTCATAAGGTCCCTTTCCTAACAACATATCTAGATTTCTCTGAGGATAACCAGCTGCTGCATTTCGCCTAGCCGTCTCCTTGCAAAATTCCTCATTGGCAACCTTCCATAACAGGTATTGTCCTCCATTTAGCACAGCTTTACACATATTAGCCCAATCTGCTGGCGTCATGTTCAAGTTGTTAATGGATTCGACCAAGCTTACAGTGAAGGGTGCTTGAGGACCATAGGTTGTTACAGCCTCTTTTAGCTGCTTCACTGTTTTGAAATTTAAAACATGGTAAACTCGCTGCCCTCCTGCCTCAAATACAGGGCATGTTAATATTTGAGATCCTGTCTCAGGATCCCAACTATCAACTGCGGGGGTTGGGGGCCTCCCAGCATATGGAGGTGGCGCTGTTGGTTGGACACTTACGCCCTCTGGTGATAGAAAGGTGTTAGTAGCAGTCTCCTGTAGAGGTGGTGCTGTTGGTTGGACACTTACGCCCTCTGGTGATAGAAAGGCGTTAGTAGCAGTCTCCTGTAGAGGTGGTGCTGTTGGTTGGACACTTACACCCTCTGGTGATAGAAAGGTGTTAGTAGCAGTCTCCTGTTGTAACTTTCCCCCTGATGGCTTTTTCTGTTTTACACTTTCTTTCTCTGTCTGACTAGCTTGAGAGGCCTTCTCTTTTACTTGAATCTTTTCCTCTGTCTGACTAACTTGAGAGACCTTCTCTTTTACTTGAATCATTATGTCTTCTCCTTCCTCTACCATTGTCTGAACTGAAGGCTTTGGACTAAGCAAACAAGATATGAACGTCCACAATGGCAATGTGCCATCTGGCAGAGTCCCTGGGCTTTTCTTTTCTATTCTTTTTAAATCTTCACCATGATGGTTCCATTGTGATATATTTAACAACTCCTCCTTAAAAAGCCATGGGCTACATTTTTGTATTGTATCAACGTATGCCCTGACTGCTCTTGATTTTACTGGGATGCCTCCTTCCTCTAACAATTTACTTAACACTCTTTCAGTTTGTTTTTTACTAATTTCTGATCCCGTATTTCTACTATAATACAACCCAACAAGATGACGCCAAACAAAACCGAGACAGAATGAAATAAAAAGGGAACAACAAAAAGTCATTATAGCCTTTCTATCCTCCTGACATATGCATCCGTCCTTTCTCCCTATCTGTTCCTCAGACGTAAATAGTTTTACCTCAGATGTGAGTGGTTTTTCTTCCGTCTCACTCATCTCCAGGGACAGGCAACTTAAAACAAAAGTGAAGCAAAATAAAAGAGGAATCTTAAAATGGCTACCCATCCTCTCGCCCTGCCCTCAGGGGCGAGCAGTTTCGCTTACCCTCAGTCGCTCCCCGTGCGAGCCACCAAATGCCGCAGTCTGGCTGGGCACAATCAGGAGCCACTTGTCAAAAGAAAGTAACTTTATTTGTAGAACCACACACGACAAACAAAATAGTCTCTCAGGAAAAACCCTCAGAGCCTCAACTGCCACCACCGGCTTTCCACAAGCCTCTCTCTCCCACACAAGCTTCTCTCCACCTCCCACAATCCTCCTGCTCTTGAGGCCGATTGGCTGGGTCACGTGGGCGGAGCCAAAAAAGTCCCCCAATGAGCAGCTCCGTGGTCTGAAAGGGCAGGGAAACAGCCCAATGAGCATCACCGCAGAGGAGCCAATCAGCTAGATGTTGCTGGGGCCGAGGAGCCAATCAGCTAGATGTTGCTGGGGCCGCTGTGAGCCAATCATCAGCCGGCAGCTGGAAGTTTGCTGGGGCCCCTTCGGCTGTGGCTCTCAACATACTTGTTCCATCCCAAATGTCCTCCCTAAATCCCTGGGCCTGCCTTACTCTACCATGGTATGGTCACATTCAGAATCACTACATTTCTTCCTACTAATCTGATCTATATATTTATAGCCTAAATGATTCTCAATCCAAACCCAGAATTCTCTTGTAGATCCCAAATGTAATTGATATTCATATCTTTCCACTTTTATTGCTCCATATCTTACTTATCCCACTATTGATCTATAGTCAGACAAACTAGATTCACTTACATCTTTGATCCTAAACAAATTCTTTAACTTTTCAAAACCTTATCTTCCTCAATTCATGCAATATACAGGGCTAAAGACAGTAGCTACCTTAGAGAGCTGTGCAAGAATTTACAAACAGGGTGCCTAAGGGCAAAATGGCGTCCAGCTGTTATTCTTCACATCCACCTATTTATTGATTCCATCAGTGAGCTCACAAGTGTTTATTGAACACTTATTTCATGCTTGATGTGTTCCCAGGTCCTAGGGATGAGGGATGAACAAAAAGTCAAGGTTCTGCCCTCTTGGAGTTTACTTTTCTTGTGAGATTAAGGGGCAAGTAAACTGTCATACTGTTCAAATGACTTCCTGTTTGTTAAAGTCAGCAAAAATCAAAGTGTGCCATGAAAGTAATGGTCAAGAAAACTGGAAGACAATCATGTGAAGTCACAAGATGCCAGATAATTTTTCATATAAGAAAATGCTTATTTTATGTGGAAAAAATGCAGGTATAAAATTGAATAAAAATATCTCAAATATGCTTTTTAAAATTAAGATAAGTCAGGCATGGTAGCACATGCCTGTAAGTCCCACCACGCAGGAGGATTGCAAGTTCCAGGCTAGATTGGGAAATTTAGTTAGACCCTGTCTCAAAATAAAATAAAAAGGGCTGGGGATGTAGCTCAGGTACAGTACACCATGGGTTCAATCCTCAGTACCTCAAAAAGGAAAGAACAACAGGGGGAGGGGGAAGGGGAGAGACAGAGAAAATAAATAAATAAATAAAAGCACTGGGGATATAACTCAGTGGTAGAGAGACCCTAGGTTCAATTCCCAGTACCAAATAAATAAATTTATATATATACACACACACACATAAAATTAAGATCAAAGTCGTAACTGTCAAGATCTTAATTTGATAGAAAATAATACACCATGTTCCTGTGTAATTCTACATCATGTACAACCAGACAAACAAGAAGTTATACTCCATTTATGTATGATGGGTCAAAATGCATTCTGTCATGTCTAACTAATTAGAACAAATTAAAAAATTTTTAAAATACACCATGTTAAATTTTAATATACTTAGGTGATTGGGTTTTAGACAATTATTAGTTTTCAGTATTTCAAAAACACAAGATTCCCTTTTAAGGTACAAGAGTCCTTTTTGAAAAATATAACTTAATAGTAAAAGGTGGGCCTAATTCTACCTCATCTCAACAAACAAGTAAGTTTGAAAGAAGTTTTAAAACTGCAAGGTAGGCTGTTTGAAATCACTTCCTCCAATAAGGATGATTTCTGGTTTGAAGATCCAAGTTTTTCATTTACTCAAATGTGGTGAACACAACCAAGTGTTTATAAAATAGGAAATAGAACAGTGTTAGCAGAGCTGCCTGATAAAAATACTACACAGTAAGTCAGGTTAGTAATTTAAAATTTTCTAGTAGCCACGTTTAAAAAATAAAGAGAGGGCTGGGGTTGTGGCTCAGTGGTAGAGCACTTGCCTGGCATGTGTGAGGCACTGGGTTCAATCCTTAGCATCACATAAAAATAAATAAATAAAATACAGATATTGTGTCCATCTACAACTAAAAAAATATATTTTAAAAATAAAGAGAAATTAGGTTAATTTTAATAACATATCTAACTCAATGTATTCACAATTATAATTAATAAAATAATTCAGGTGTAAGATTGTTCCTTTTTTGTTTTGTTTGGCAGCACTGGGGATCCAATCCAATGGTGCTTTATTACTGAGCTACAATTCTGACCCTTTCTTTATTTTTTTGAGACAGGGTCACATTAAGTTGCCAGGTCTGGCCTGGAACTTGCAATCCTCCTGCCTCAGCCTCCCCAGTCACTGGGCTTACAAGCCAGCACCACGGCGCCCCTCATGTTACCACCTTTTACTAATCAGGTGCTTTTACTTAAGCATATCTCTATTCAGATTTGCCAACTTTCAGGTGTTCAATGGCCACATGTGGCCAGTGATTCCTACATTAGATCAGAAAAGCAAAGAGCAACTAAAAGCACCCAGAGGCACCAAGGTACACCTTCTCAATAACCGCCATTTACAAACCAATGTAAGTCAAACACAACAGAGTACTTTCTGAAAGAGCCCATTTTATGAAGTTCAAAATTTACAGGCAAAACTAAGCCAAGAACAGCAATCAAAACAGTGCGGGGGTGGGAAGGTGGAGTTACTGGAAAGGGGCACAAGGGAACTTTCTGGGGTGATATAAATGGTCTTAAGTCTATGATGGGTGGTAGTTAATGGATGTATAATTTGTCAGTCCCATCGATCTGCAGACTTAAAACGTGGCATTTTATTGTATATAAACTATGCATTGATTTTTGTTGTTTAATTTTTCCCAAAAAAAAGCTATTTTGTAGCAATAGCGTAGTTCTGCACTCTGAGCAGTAACCAGCTAATACACCAGGAATGCGAGGGTCGTTGTTTAACGGAGGCAGTAGGGCCAGGAGAGAACAGAAAGACCTTGTTCCTTAAGCTGATCACCAGCCTCGCCGGATTCCCGCGCGGGGCTTCACTTCCGCCAACGCCATCTCGGCGCTGGGGGGGGGGGGGGCAGGAGAAATGGGGCTGGGGGCGCGGATGGCGCGGGAGTGCGCCCCAGGGACGTGCCGCTCCCAACCCCGGACCACCGGCAGCCTCAGGACTGTCTCTGATCGCCCTGGGCAAGAGTGGGCGTCCAGCCCGGCCGCGAAGGTCTGCAAGCGCGAAGTGCAGGACGCACTCCGCTGCCAGCGGGACTCGGACTCTGCGCCAGGGAAGGCGCGGGCGCCATCGCGAGGGGACAAAGGCTCCTAGCTCTCCAGTGCATAGGGACTAGGGGAGTAGGACGGGGGCAGGGAGGCCCAGGGGGCTCGGGATGGCCCAGGCGCCGCGGCCCTGGGGGTCGGGGGAAGGCCCAGCAGGGGAGTTACCTGCGCAGTGGTGCTGGCGCCTTGCAGGGAGGCTGGTGCGGGCTCCGCCCCGCGGCCAGCCTGGCGCTCACCTGTCGAGCTGAGAAGGGGGCCGCCTCTGGGGTTGTCCGGAGTCGCCACCGGGTCCTTCCTGCCGCCCGCACCGCGGAGCCCTCCTCGCCCACCTTCCCCTCTCCGCTTGGCTACTGGCCTCGCTGACTCACGCTAGTGAGCTTGGGTTTGCAACCGTGTTTTGTGCGATCGTCCAAAACAAGCGCCTAAAAAGTGATTCCTCCGGACACAGGCAGCTCCCGACACCCCCTGCTCTGGCCGCCCTTGGCCTCAGGCCTCGCTCAGCCCAGGCCTGCTCCTCCCTCCCTCTCGTGGCTCACTTTGCACAGACACTTCGGGTGTGCAGTGAATTCCACGGTTCCCGCCGAGATCTGGTTTCCCGGCCAACCGAGACCTTCAATCGGGTCCCCCGCGAACTTCACTCGTCACAGTCGTTTGTGGATCACTAGAATGCGGGGATTCTCTTTCCTCCTAAGAAGATTTAGGAGGAAAACAAAAGGGTATTTCTGCCCTAGTTGAGCTCAGGTCTGGTGGGAGGTTTACATATCTATCTATGGGAAGCAGTGAATTTCCATAGAACAATACTTGCTACTGCGCATCAGGGACGACGCGGGGCGGGGGCGCAACTAAGACTTTACAGAGTGACTTTTTTTTTTTAAAGGGTTTGTAGGATGGTTGGTACTAGGAAGGGACCTGGAAGGTTGTTTAGGCGAACACAAAACTGTAAACAAACCTCTGAAGGAGAAAGACTAACTGAATAGAAAGAGTTGAAGTAAACCAAAGATTCAGGATAGTCGTAAAATTTTTAATTACCAGTGTGAGACACTAGCGCGACAAGTTACACCTAGTGGAGTTTAGACATTATAATTGTGAGTTGGGGGGCGAGGTGGGGGTGCATGCCTGTAATCCCAGCAACTCTCAGAGGTTGAAGTAGGGAGGCTGAGGCAAGAGGATCAAATTCCAGGCTAGTCTGAACAACTCATCAAGACCCTGTCTAGAAATGAACTTTAAATAGGACTTGACATATACTTAAGTGGTAGAGACCTGACCTACTTGCAAGCCCCTGGGTTCTATCCCCAGCAAGGGCACAACAGGAATAATAATTGTGTAGTGCTGTCCAGTTATAATTTTGCAACATATCTATATCTATCAGTAGATAAAGATCTGATTGGTAAGACCAGAGTTTGCTGGTGGAGTCCAGTAGGGCAAGAGGAAGGTGCAGAAGTGGACAGTGCTAGAAGGATGCAATTGTAGTAATGGATGACCGGTCTAGTCCTAGAGGACAGGAACTGAAACCAGCAGAGAACTGATAGGCTGAGAGAAAGGAAAGAGAAAGGCCCAAAGAGAGTACTAGAGGACTGGCCAGTTGGCAGCAGTGTGATATTGGAGGCAAAGATTTCAAAGCTGAAGCAATTCAGGAGCTAGTTGCGGTAGCACAGACCTGTAGTCCCAGCAATTCAGGGGGCTCCCAAGTTCCAAACCAGCCTCAGCATTTGAGCAAGACCCTGTCTCCCCCATACACACTGGGAATTGAAGTCAGGGGCACTCAACCACTGAGCCACATCCTAGCCCTATTTTGTATTTTATTTAGAGACGGTCTCACTGACTTGCTTAGCGCCTCACTAAATTGCTGAAGCTCACTTTGAACTCACGATCCTCCAGTCTCAGTCGCCCGAGCTGCTGGGATTATAGGCGTGTGCCGCCACGCCTGACTGCAAGACCCTGTCTTTAAATATAGATAGAGAGAGAGAGAGAGATAGATAGATAAATGGGGCTGGGGATGTAGCTCAGTGGTAAAGCGCCCATGGGTTCAATCCCTGGTACCAAAAGATATAAAAAGGCTGGGCACTGTGGCACATGCCTGTAATCCCAGCAGCTCAGGAGGCTGAGACAGTAGCATTGGGAGTTCAAAGCCAGCCTCAGCAATTTAGCGAGGTACTAAGCAACTTGTGAGATCCTGTGTCTAAATAAAATAAAAAATAGGGCTGGGGAGCTCAGTGATTGAGTGCCCCTGGTTTCAATCCCTGGTACAAAAAATAAAATTACACACACACACACACACACACACACAAAGCAATTCCAGAAGATGAAACAAAGAGATGGCTGCTGAAATGGAATAGAAAAGTGAGATGGGGATGCCAGGACTAGGGTCTAGTGCCTGGAAGCCCTCTTTTTGAACATGGTGGAAGGGGGCAGAAGGATGGTGAACAGAGCTTACTCCATTGAGACCAAGGAACTTCCCGGGAATGTGGGGGAGTGCTGGCAGCTTGGCCCCAGCAAACTTCCAGCTGCCAGCAGGGGAGTGTCCCCGAAGCTGACAGATGACTGCAACTAAGAAGGTTGCCTGGTGCCGGGGGAGGGTTGCTAATGCCTGTAATCCCTGTGGCTTGGGAGGCTGAGTCAGGAAGATCACCAGTTCAAAGCCAGCCTAAGCAAAAAGTAAGGCCCTAAGCAACTCAGTGAGACCCTGTCTAGTATGCTGTTTTTAAGTCCTTTGGGTATAGACGAAGGAGTGGGATAGCTGGGTCAAATGGTGGTTCCATTCCCAATTTTCCAAGAAATCTCCATACTGAAAAGCTAATGAATTTCTAAGCTAAGCAGATCTTTCCCCGCCACAGATTAAAGAGTAGTGTTATGGAAGAAACAGGAGGAGCTGGGGATACTGAGTTCTTTTGGGAAAATAAGCAGAGACATCACTTAGCAGGGTATCCTTGCAGAAGACCCCAGGTCTCCCCCCAATCCTGCCCCAGTGGGGGAGAATAAAATAAGATTACCTTGTAAAAAGGCTGGAAGCACAGAGAAGCTTGTTAATGAAACAAGTCTTCTTACAGAGGGCAGAGTGGAAGGGATGCTTTTAAAGGGATTGATGTAGATAATAATACTTTACACCTGGGGTGTTTGTAAGGTTCCCTTGCACATTTCAGAACTTCACTTTCCGTTTACCCTTTTTGGAATGAGGAACCCGAGGCTCTGGTATTACACTCACCTGTAATACCAGAGACTCTCGAGGCCCGGGCTGGGGATGTAGCTCAATGATAGAGTGCCCCTGGGTTCAATTCCCAGTGATGGAAAGGTCTTGACCAAAGACAATTAGTTAATATGAGTAGCAAAGCCAGGGGCATCAATATCAAATGTCTGGCCCCACAGCCAGACTCTTCATCACGGGATACAGGACCTGATCCAGTTATCTTATTCTATTATTCTATGAGGCTAGTGGATGAAACATATTTTGCAAATACAAAGGAAGGGGGCTATTATGGTAAATATTGCATCTGGAGTTTGGAAATTTAACTATGACCTGGGCACAGGGCACAGTTCATGAGCGTCTGCTCATGAAAAACATAAACAGAAAAAAAATTTTTGATAAGAGTGCATATTGAGGGGCTGGGGATGTGGCTCAGTGGTAAAAGCCTTGGTTAGGGTGAAAAAAAAAGAAAGAGCAGATTGATCAGGTACAATGGCACTCACCTGTAATACCAGAGACTCTCGAGGCCTGGGCTGGGGATGTAGCTCAATGACAGAGTGCCCCTGGGTTCAATTCCCAGTGATGGAAAAAAATGGGGGGGGGGCAGATTGACTGAATTGTACATGATAAAGATGTGTCCTCATTCAGTAGGTGTCTATTCATGGACTACTACCCACATGACATTGTACTGGACCCTCAATCTGATTTTTTTAAAAAAAAGAAGCCGGCGTGGGGGGCACACCTGTATTCCCAGCTGCTTGGGAGACTGAGGCAAGAGGATCGTGAATTCAGAGCCTGCCTCAGCAATTTATCCAGGCACTACGTGACTCAGTGAGACCTTCTCAACAAGAAATACAAAAAGGCTAGGGTGTGGCTCAGTGGTTAAGTGCCCCTGGGTTCAATCCCCTGTACCCCCCCCAAAAAAAAGCCATACACACACACACACACACACATATACATATACACATACACACATTTACCATTGAATTATACACTTTTAAACATGTCAGTAAAGCTGAGACGGGGAAAAAAACAGGTCAGGCTTGTTAAGATAAAGTCCTGAACCTGAATAAAATGTAAATATAGTTCAGTTTGGAATCATTGGCAACCATCCAGAATAGATTGCTGGAGTTGTTTGTGTGTGTATGTATATATGTGTGTGTGTGTGTGTGTGTATATATGTATATGTGTATATGTAATAGACATAATCATCCAGCGTCAATAATTACCAACACATGGCCAGAGTTGTCTAATCTATTACCTGTCCATTTGCCCCCAATTTACCCCCATCTTATATTAATTTGAAGCAAATTCCATACATGGTATCATTTCTTTGGTCAATTCCTCAGTACAGTACAGTTTATATTTAAAATATAAAACTTTAAGAACATACATATATAATACCATCACCACTTTTTTTTTGTACTGGGGATTGAACTTAGGGGCATTTAACACATCTTGGTCCTTTTATTTTTTATTTTAAGACAGGGTCTATGGGGCTGCGGTTGTGGCTCAGCGGTTGTGGCTCAGCGGTAGGGCGCTCGCCTTGCACTTATAAGGCGCTGGGTTTGATCCTCAGCACCACATAAAAATAAATAAATAAAATTTAAAAAAAAAAAAGACAGAGTCTAAGTTGCTGAGGACCTCTCCAAGTTGTAGAGGGGCTGGCCTTGAATTTGTCATCCTCCCCCAGCCTCTGGAGTAGATGGGATTACAGGTGTGCTCCACTAAAACTTTTCAAATTTTCACAATTCCTTAATTTCACAATTATTCAGTGTCCAAATTTCCAATTATAAGCATCATAATTTTTTTCAAAGTTTCTGCTGAATTAGGATCCTAATAAAATGCACAAGTAGCCTCTTTTCTCCCTGTGTTCTAGGGACAAACGAGGCAAGGCACCAAAGACAGCAGGAACAGTTTTATTTGGCTGCAGCCAGGTTCAGAGGGCATAGCTTTTGCTGTAATCAATTAATCCCCTGAACCCCGAGTTCAGGTAGTTTTATACCCAGCATGTAAAGGGAGGGGCTCAAGTTCACAGTCTGCAGAAGCAGCAGCTTTCTCTTTCACTGTTTTGAGCAAGTTAACCCTTCAAGGACAACACCTGGGAAGGGGAGAGCTTCTTCTTCCTTTCTTTCCTCCCCCTGCCAGCTGTTACCATGGAGTCCAATTGCTAACTTATCTTAAAAATGTAGACATCTCTGTGAAGCCCAGCTCAAGGCCAGAGGCCTTGTTTGCACAGTTCTACAAAGTACTATACTAGATACGTTTGTGAAAACTAGTAAGGGGTGTCCAGCACCTGGAGTGCTGGTATCTTCTTGGCCAGTGGCCAAATAAAGCAGGGCTACAGGAAAATAGGAAGTTTATCTACATTAAACTCTTTTGCAGAGACTCTTGCTGGCAGTCCTAAAATCAGCCATGGTGCAGACTTCTGGAGAAGCCCAGTTAAGACTTTTCTGTGGAGAAAGGGGGTGCCACTTCACCTGTAAATTGGATTTAGAAGACTTGGGTTAGCATAGTAATGCCCCAATTCATTCTACTATCTTTTATTCCCATTTGCCATGCGACCAATGTGTGGTACATCATGTACCATCAAAAGAATGAGAAGTTATACTCCATATATGTATAATATGTGAAAATACATTCTACTACCACGTATAACTGCTTAGAAAAAATAAAATAAAAAAAAATCTTTGAAAAGCTAAAAAAGAAGCAGCAGCAGCAGCCGCAGCCTTGGGTTAGTTTTGACTTGGGCTCAGTGGAGGTTAATTTCCGCGCTCGGGGGTGGGGGGGGGGCAGGTCTAGCTGGACCTAAAAAGGTGAGGCTATGTCACCAGCCCAGCTCTTAGAGGCAATCATAAAATGAAACTAGGTATGAATGTGACAAAAAAGCTGTCCAAACACTCAGGTAAATCACCTACAAATCTGGGAAGGAGGGAAAGGGGCGGAGTGGGGCTGAGCTTCTGGGGAAAGCCCTTTGTCCTTTTTCCACGCTTGCAACCAACCAATCTGTCACAATCGCTGCGGAGGGGGCGGGGTGGAGCCTTTGGACGGAAATGAGGCATGCGCGTCCACCGGTAGCGTCGTCACAGAAGGGGGTAGATGGTAGATGGGCGGCACCAGCGTCTCTGCTACTTCCGGCCATTTCCTACCGAGTCTCGCAGAGTCGAGTAGCTACTAGGCAGTTCCCACAGGGGTCTAGGGGGATCCGGACTGCGGCGGCGGCCCGGCGGGCGGGATGTTCCGAGGGCTGAGTAGTTGGTTTGGCTTTCAGCAGCCGGCGGCGGTGGACGAGCCATCCCAAGGAGACGGGCAGTCAGCGGGAGACAGTCCACCTGAGCAGCCCTCGGAGACGGTGGCAGAGTCCACCGAGGAAGAGCAGCACTCTACGGAGGACCAAGAGTTCCTCCACCAGGCCAGAGGCCTCAGCAGTGAGTCTCTCGCGATCCGGGATTGAAAGGGGGTGGGGGGTGTCCCTGGATTGCGAGCCAGGCTGGCTGGCAGGAGCGGGGGCCTGGGAGGAAGGTGGACTTGCGGATCAGTCCTCTAGAGATGAGAGATTGGTGAGAATCTGAGCAAAGCCAAAGTTTCGTCTAGCAGTCAAATCCTGTCCCTGAAGTTCCTGGTGACATGCCATCCTGAATTTTTTTTTTTTTAATCACACTTTTCTTTTACTTAGTTTTTTGTTGTTGTTGTTGTTGTTTGTTGTAGGTTTTTTTTTTTTTTTTTTTTTTTTTTTTGGCTGTGCTTGGCATCGAACATAGATCTGTCCTTGTGCAAGCTAGGCAAGCACTCTACTACTGAGCTGCAACTCCAGCTCTCTGCAAAGTTTTTTTTTTTAATTTTATTTATTTTATTCATTTTAGTTGTTGACAAACCTTTACTTTTTATTTATATATGGTGCTGAGAATGGAATCCATTGCCTCACACATTCAAGGCAAGTGCTCTACCAGTGAGCCACAACCCCAGCCCCTCTGCAAAGTTTTTTAATCATTGGCAGCAGGGCCACAGTGGGTCTGGTCCCATTTGTCTTCGGGTTTTACAAATAATCTGCTTTGTTCAACAGGTCACCTTTACCCAATCACCCCACAGTGGGCTGGAGTCCTTGGAAAAAATGCTTTTTTGCCCTTAGGGTAGAACGTGTTATCTCAAGTAAATAGATAGTTCCTGAATTCCTCAGTCCTGGTTGGTCATCTTGAGTGCAATAGGACCTTTTTCTTGATGTGGAAAAAGAGCGGTCAATTGTCAAATTACTTAGATGTTTTATGAACCATGTCTCATTTCATCTGTTAACCCGTTAAGTCCCCAGTTTTCAATTCTTTGAACACAGATGTTCAAATACTATTTTGAAGTTACCATAAGTGATATGTTTGTTTCTCAATTTAAGTTTTTACAGGTGATCCACATCTGGGATGGTGGGACAAAATGGGTTTAACATCCTCGTGATTTGGGGGAACAAGCCTGAGCTACTGGATTGAAGTTATGCTGATAGTAAATGGTAGAGGTGGTATTTTAATCTGTCTAATTTCAAAGCGGTGCTTTTTTTTTTAGAGGGCGGTATTGGGGATTGAACTTGGGGGCACTTGACCACTGACCCATATCCCCAACCCTATATTTTATTTAGAGACAGAGTCTCTCTGAGTTGCTGAGCACCTCGATAAAATGCTGAGGCTGGCTTTGAACTAGCAATCCTCCTGTCAGCCTCTTGAGCTGCTGGGATTACAGGCATGTGCCACCTCTCTGTTTTGAATTTACAGTTTAGTTATGGGGGCACAGGCAGTACAATACGCATGAAAAATATAAATGCATGCTGTAGTGATTCTGATTCTGAAGAAACCTTCAAGAAACATAGGCCTAGCTAAAGCAGAGAGGGTCTATTAGGTGGTTGAGATAGATGAAAGTGGGATAAAGTTATGAACTGTGAACTATAACGTGTAGGTATTTACATGATTAAATAGAACCATTTTCATGTCATAAGGAGAGAATCAAAGTTGGTTTCTTAAAACTTAGGGCTTTACTGTTGATTTGAAATCTTGTATTTCAATTTAGTAATAAAGACCTCTGAACAGTTTTTAATAAATGTCTTCTGGATGGCTGGGGGTGTGGCTTAGGGTGGAGCACATGCCTAGCATTTATGACATCATGGGTTATGAGGTCAATCGCCAGCATCACAAAGAGGAAAAAATGTAGTTTTGATAGGGTTGACTACTTTGGAGCTAATGTTGCCATCTTTCTTTCCTCACCAGGTTCTCTTTTGATATTTGAGGAGACTGGGGTTAGACGGAAGTTCCTGCCCACTCACACATTGTTTGTAATTTGAAAGTTTCAGAATAAATGAAAGCTCTTGCTTCTAAAATTTATGTGGTTCTAGGACTGTGTAAAGGGTCAGGTATATACACAAACTTTGAGAGAAATAAGACAGATGATCAGATAGTTTGAAAACTGAAATTAAACATCTCTGAGTCTAATTCCCCGTGAGTAGATTGGTTTCTTTAATTTTTTGAAATCTACATGGATTCTCCTAGGAACCTCCTTTGTTCTGCACACCTTTGTTGAGTGCCTGCCTCAACTGGACCTTAGATGCTTTCTGTTGATAGTGATCTATTTATGAATTTAGGCCTTTCACCAGTTACCAATGGTGGACATCCAGGCTACATTCCTCTCTCTCACCCAAAACCAAACCTGATCCTTGGATCTTTCCCACCCCCATAAGTTTATGATGTCCTATGGTCACTGTCTTCAAAGAGGGAATAGTACAGGAACTCAAGAATTCCTCCTTTCTGCTGGTGGCACACACCTGTAAACCCAGTGACTTGGGATGCTGAGGCAGGAGAGTCTTGAGTTCAGAGCCAGCCTCAGCAACTTAGCAACTAAGCAACTTAGTGAGACCCTCTCTCTAAACAAAATATAAAAAGGGCTGAGGATGTGGCTCAGTGATTAAGTGCCCCTGGGTTCAATCCCTGATACAAAAAAAAAAAAAAAATTCTCCTTTCCCCTTAAAGGCACCATGCCCCAAAATAACTTCTATTCACTACAGATCGGTTGGTGTTTGTTAGTCAACCAAATCAGAGCATTATCTGGACTCTTAAAAAGCAAAACAACAAAAAAATACCCTGTATTTCTGGGAGTTTTAAGACTCTGAGTCATTCACACAGCTTTTTAATTTTTTTTTTTTTAGTTGTTGATGGACCTATATTTTATTTATTTATTTATATGTGGTGCTGAGACTCAAACCCAGTTCCTCACACATGCTAGGCAACCCTCTATCACTGAGCCACAACTTCAGCCCATTCACACAGTTTATACTCTTGGGAAGGTAGCCAATATTTTCAAGTTATGGCTTTTTCAGCATAGTCCCTATAAGACCAGCCTGTGCCCAGGAATAGAGGTCTGGCCACCTCTTCTAATTGCTCTTTTGAGGATTGCTACTGCAGTGGGACTTTGTGAATAAAGGCATCCTCCCTTTTTTTCCCTATAGAGAAAATCCATCTCAAGTTCCAGATGCCTGACTTAGAAACTAAGAAGACTCCAAAAATTAGTGTGTACATAGGAAAAGTAATGTGTCTGCTTTCATGTAGAAGTAGACTATCTAATTGAGTTCCAGTGACCGCAGTTTTGATGACAGAGTCAGATACACAGTACAAATGGTCATGAGCTTGAATCCCATGGCTTATGCACAATATCCTTTAGAACTGGGGGTTTTAGTTCAAAAAAGAAATATCTTAGGGACATTGCTTTAGAAATGATTTTCATTTTGTGAGATGTCAGACCTAAAATTGACAGGTGAAAGTGTCATATGAGAAGTGAAAAGAAATTTCTAATTAGATGTGGGTAAAAGTAATAATTTTCTGCCCTTCAAAGTCCCCAAAACCACCTCAGTTCAATGATTGGTTAGGAGGACTCACAGCTCTGATTTATCACAATGAAGATGGCAAAGTTAGCAAAAGGAAAAGGTGCATGAGGCAAAGTCCAGAGGAAGCCAGTGGAGTCACAGGACATGCTTAATTCGTCCAGCAGTGAGTTGCGACAATGCATGTGAAATGTTCTCTACCAGGGAAGCTCTTTAGAAAATGAGTGCCCAGGATTTTTATGGATGGCAGGTCACACAGGCACCCTATGTCTACAATGTACTGTAATTCCAGACTCCAGAAGGAAAGCAGGTGTTGACTATGAACCATAATATTCACACACAGTTTAGTGAGCCACTCTCACAGTTTGGGGAGTGGTAGAAACCCTACTGAAATCCAAGTTGCCAAACACTAGCCAATAGCCAATCTTGAAAGCAGGCCTTTTAGGGGGTGAGGTATAACTCAGTGGTAGAGTGAGCACTTACCTAACACATGCAAGGTGCTGGATTTGATCCCTAGAAACACACACACACACACAGGCCATTCCAAAGATAGCAGTCTTGGGCCTGCCCAGTTGAATGAATACTCTTGTTGTCTTTGATTCCTTTATTTATTTAGGCTAATAAATTCCTAGAAGGTGAGAATTAAGCTTTTTCAAGCCTCGGTGTGATCAGTAAAATGCCCAGGTAGTCACTAAAATGTAAGAATTGAGATTATTATGCTAAAAGACCACTTTTTCAATGAAATTTCTCCCTTAGGGGCTGGGGTTATGGCTCAGCAGTAGAGCACTTGCCTAGCATGCGCAAGGCCCTGGGTTCAATCCTCAGCACCACATATAAACAAATAAAATAAAGGTATTTTTAAAATTTCTCCCTTAGATTAAAATGACAGTTTAAATTCAAAATGGATTTCTGAAGGAAAAAAAATTTTTTTTGATACTGCGGATTGGATCCAGGGGTGCTTTACCACTGAGCTACAACCCCAGCTTTTTTATTTTGAGACAGGGTCTGGCTAAATTGCTGAAGCTGACCTTGAATTTGCAATCGTCCTTCTTCAGCCTCCAAAATTGCTGGGATTACAGGAATGCACCACCTCACCCAGCTATGAGAAAACCATAAAAGGAATACTCTTCTTTCAAAACTTTGTTTCTTTATCTGCAAAGAATAGTTTTACATAATAGCATGACTGTTTGTTTATACATTTTATCATACCACATTGCACATTAAACTATTTGTAACCAAAGGAGTGAATAGTTATAACTAAAGAAATGATGCTCTTTCTAAAACTCAGCATTAATTAGGTCCATCCATTCAACAAATACTTACTGGTCACCCAGTGGGGATATAGTAGTGAATCAGACAGCTTTAATCCCTGCCCTAATGGGGCTTAGGATAGGCCTTTAGCTAAGAAGACATTCACCAAGTTATCAGTAGAGAATTATAGATATTGTTGTCCCCATCCCCAAAATATGCCAACGGAACACATCTCAGGGGCATCTACTTTTTTTTTTTTTTCTTTTTGTACTGAGGGTGGAACCCGGGGTGCTTTACAATTGAGCTATATCCCTATCTCTTTTTTATGTGTGTATGTGTTGTACTAGGGATTGAACCCAAGGCCTTGTGCATGTGAGGCAAGCACTTTACCAACTAAGCTATATCCCCAGCCCCCATCTTATTTTTTATTGCTAAGTTGCTTAGGTTCTCACTAAGTTTCTAGTGCTGGCCTCAAACTTGTGATCCTCCTGTCTCAGCTTCCCAAGATGCTGGGATTACAGGCATGCACCACTGCACTTGGCTCTTATAAAATCTCTATTTAAGGGAGAAACATAATATCCATGGGTTCCATATCTGTTGGTTAAACCAGCCATGGATTGAAATATTTGAAATTGTGTCTATACTAAACATGTATAGTCTTTTCTTGTCATTATTCCCTAAACAATATAGTATAACAACTGTTTATATAGCATTTATATTGTATTAGGTATTATAAGTAATCTAGAGATATAACAGAATTATATGGGAGAAGGATGTGCATAAGTTATCATGTGAATGCCATGTGGTGCCCAACTATATATAATTCCAGCAGCAGCTGGGGATATAGCTCAGTTGGTAGAGTGCTTGCCTAGCGTGCACAAGGCCCTGGGTTCAACCCCCAGTATCACCAAGAAAGAAAAAAAAAATGTATGATGTGTAATCCTAGCAGCTCAGGAGCCTGAGGCAGGAGGATTGTAAGTTCAAGGCCAACCTCAGCAACTTGGCAAGGCCCTAAGCAATTCAGTGAGACCCTGTCTCTAAATGTAAGAGAAGGGCTGGGAATGTAGCTCAGTTATTAGCACCCCTGGGTTCAACCCTCAGTACCCAAAATAATAATAATTATAACAATATGAGGGACTTTATCATCCACAGATTTTGATATCCAAGCAGGTCCTGGAACAAACCCTCTCCCAGATACCGAGGGACACCTGTAGTCATTATACTGGAATGAAACATTGATTCTCTTTATCCTTTACAGACTATCTATATAATTTCGCAAGTGCTGCCACAAAAAAGATAACTGAATCAGTTGCTGAAACGGCACAGACAATAAAGAGATCTGTAGAAGAAGGAAAAATAGATGACATCATTGAAAAGGTACACTTAAATATCTTTTGGAAGTAGAAGTATATGAAATTTATTAACAGCTAATACAATCAGTCCCCTCTTAGGAACTTTTTTAAAATGCAAGTAGGGTATCATATTCTAATAAAAATCTAGATTGTTGAGACTCTTGGGTTTTTTTTTCCTTCTCCCTGTACAGTAAGTGACTGAGATATTAATTACTTTGGTTATAAATAGCTTTGGTTTTTATTTTAATATAGTTGAAATGCCTTTATACTGTTGAATTATATAAGTAAACTTTTCATGTTGTGAGTTTAGTTATAAACTATGGCTATCTCAGGGTCTATTTATATCTTTGTGTAATTTGGTTAAGTTTTTTAAAGTCCAAGCCCATTAGGAACAACTCTGTTAAGACTCTTAAGGAGAAAGTTTGTTCATTTTTTTCCAGTGTTAATGTGCAAGCCTAGGGAATTTCATTTATGTTGATAATGATTTGAACTAAAGAGGTCATTAGTTCAGACTTAGATATGTTATTAGATGTTTTTGTTGTGTATACTCTATTAGATAATGAGATTCAACATGTCCTTTATTGTTTTTGGTTTTGGTCCCAGGAATTGAACTCGGGGGCACTCGACTACTGAGCCCCATCCCCAGCCCTGTTTTGTATTTTATTTAGAGACAGGGTCTCACCGAGTTGCTTAGTGCCTCGCTTTTTGCTGAGGCTGGCTTTGAACTTGTGATCCTCCTGCCTCAGCCTCCCAAGCTGCTGGGATTACAGGTGTGCACCACTGTGCCCAGCTTCCTTTATTGTTTAAAATTGGGTTTCACTTTTTATAACTTTATTTATTGTTTATTTATATGTGGTGCTGAGGATCGAACCCAGTGCCTCATATGTGCTAGCAAGAGCTCCATCACTGAGCCACCCAGCCCTGGGTTTCATTTTTGAATTTGAAAAGATCATGTGTCATAAAGGAAGTTTTATACTCAAAATTGAAAAACACTGAAGGATCCATTCTTGTTGAGGAAATGGAGATGTATCGCATTTTTAGCCTTTTTATTCAAAGGAAATGGATAAAATATCTCCATTAGACTTCAAAATCTTGAATGTAAATTGTTATCTAGTAGTAAACTTTTCAAAGTAATTTGAGCCGGGTGCAGTGGTGCACACCTGTAATCCCAGGGATTCAGGAGGCTGAGGCAAGAGGATAGCAAGTTCAAGGCCAACCTCAGCAATCTAGATGCCCTAGTGAGATCCTTTCTCAAAATAAAAACGGGCTGGGTTGTGGCTCAGTGGTAAAGATCCTCTGGGTTCAATCCCTAGTACCAAAAAGAAAGAAAGAAAGAAATGTAATTTGATTCTTTATGTATTCTTTTTAACAGACAATTATAGGAGATTTTCAGAAGGAGCAGAAAAAATTTGTCGAGGAACAGCACACAAAGAAGTCTGGTACGGTATAGTTTTATCTTAAATACCTGTTATGTGCTGGAATGATACTAAGGCTATGATATTTATTTATGTATTTATTAAAGTTGTTTTTAACTCAGAAGGGCACCGCTTCCCCCTCTGCTTTTTTTTTTTAAAGAGAGAGAATTTTTTAATATTTATTTTTTAGTTTTCGGTGGACACAACATCTTTATTTTATTTTTATGTGGTGCTGAGGATCGAACCCAGCGCCCCACGCATGCCAGGCGAATGCGTTACCGCTTGAGCCACATCCTGGGCCCCAGGCTATGATATTTAAAAAAATGTGTATGAGGGCTGGGGTTGTGGCTCAGTGGTAGAGCACTTGCTTAGCATGTGTGAGGCACTGGGTTCGATCCTCAGCACCACATATAAATAAATAAAATAAATGAAATAAATGTCCATCAACAACTTAAAAAAATTTTTTTTAAACGTGTATGAGGCTGGGGATGTAGCTCAGTGGTAAAATGTGTGCTTAGCACATACAGTGCCCTGGGTTCCATTCCAGCATTAAAAAAAAAAAAAAAAGTGTATGTAACAGCCCCCATCCTTCGGATTGCACTAAGACTAGTGGGGAAGACATACTGATAAACATTTGTGGTTTAAAGAAAGGGAGTAAATTGTTCCCAGTGACTGGGACAGTGTGTAGGTCAAGCCTGTAACAGCCCCTCTAGGGAGTTGGCTCTGAAAGGGCGAGTAAGCTTTCATTGCTCATTTCATACCACATGCCCAGCGCAGTGAACACTGTGTACCTAAAGGGCACTTATTAAGTCTTAGTGCCCTTCCTGTTTTCTTTAAAAGAAACGGAGTAGCTTTCTGGGGGAGCCAGGACACCTGCAAGTGACATCACCATGAAAAGTCATGGGGTTTCTTTACTGACAAATGCCTGCTTAAATGTTTGCAGTTATAAGGACTCAAAAATGCCTACTTTTACCATTTGATGATATGCATACCTAAAACCAACCTCCTGTATTTGAATTTGGCAAAAGTAGCATAGATTCAGTTTGAGCTGTGCCATAATTCAGCCAATGATAAGTTCCCACCAGGTATTATTGTGCCTAGGTGAATTCAAAAGTGTGAAGCAGGGGCTGGGGCTGTAGCTCAGTGGTAGAGCACTTGCCTAGCATGTCTGAGGCACTGTTCAAACATCGGAACTGCATAAAAATAATTAAAAGAAGAATAAAGTTTTTTAAATGTGATAAAGATATTGTATCTATCTACAACTAAAAAATATATATTAAAAAAAAAAACTTTTAAAAATGTGAAGCAGCCAGGCACTGTGGCACACACCTATAATCCCAGCAGCTCGGGAAGCTGAAGCAGGAGGTTCTCGAGTTCAAAGCCAGCTTCAGCAAAAGTGAGGCCTAAGCAACTCCATGACACCCTGTCTCTAAATAAAATACAAAATAGGGCTGGGTATGGGGCTCAGTGGTCAAGTGCCCCTGACTTCAATCAACCCAGTACCCAAAAAGAAAAAGAAAAAAAAAATTAAAAAGTGTGAAGTAGCTGGGGGCACAGTGGCACATACCTATAATCCCTGGGATTGGTCAGGAGACTGAGGCAGGAGGATCATAAGTTCAAAGCCAGTCTCAGCAGTTTAGCAAGGGCCTAATGAATTTAGCAAGACCCTGTCCTAAATAAAACATAAAAAGGGCTGAGGATGTGGCTCATTGGTTAAATGCCCTTGGGTTCAATCCCTAGGACCAAAAAAAAAAAAAAAATATGAAGAGCTCTTTTGGACAAACTATACAAGTTAGCATAATTTTGTGATTAAATGGAAGCAATAAAGCTGATCTGGTGGGCTGCTTGCTGTAGGTGCCTCTGCGTTAGGAATTGTGAGGGAGTGGGACTGAAAAACTTGGAGGCGATTTTAGTTTTGAGGTACCCATTAGACATCCTGGTGAGAGGAGGGGGTACAGAGACAGAAAGGAACACAGGTGGTTTATCTGGAGAAAATGTAGTCCCTTAGTTGCACTAGCCACCTTTTTTAGTGCTCAATAACCACACATGGTTAATGACTTCCTTTTTATTATTATTATTATTTTAAAATTTATTTATTTACTTATTCATTTATTTTTGGTACTAGAGTTTTAACCCAGGGGCACTTTACCACTGAGCCCTTTTTTATTTTATTTTTTTAATTTTAAGATAGGGTCTTGGGCTGGGGATGTAGCTCAAGCGGTAACGTGCTCACCTGGCATGCATGGGGCACTGGGTTTGATCCTCAGCACCACATAAAATAAAATAAAAATGTTGTGTCCACCAAAAACTGAAAAATAAATATTTAAAAAATTTCTCTCTCTCTCTCTCTCTCTCCTCTCTCTCTCTTTAAAAAAAAAAAAAAGATAGGGTCTCACTAAATTGGTAAGGCTGGCCTTGAATTAAGATCTTCTTGTCTCAGCCTCTCAAGTCACTGGAATTACAAGCATGCACCACCCCAACCAGCAGAAGGCTAATGACTTCTGTGTAGACCCTGCACATATAGAACATTTCCATCATTATAGAACATTTCCATCATTATAGAAAGTCATTTCCATCATTATAGAAAGTCATGTTCATCACTTCAGCTTTAAATAAATTATCTGGTTCCTGTAGTCATTTGCTCCTGTCTAAAGCATATAACAGAATTCAGTGTAGTGATACAGATTAATAGTCAAGTCACATAAAAATAGATGAGCTCCTCCATAAGAGTGTGTCAAGCATAAAGGGAGATGAGAAGATTCACAGTATTTAGGGAACAGAGGAATGGAAGAATTGACAGCTATCCGGTGCCTGCTAAGTAACAGACATTTTGTATACAGCATCTCATTTAATAAAAGATGCAGTCAGCAAAATTAGAAATTTGCTGAAAGTCACCCAATTGATAAGTGACAAAACTGAAATCTACTATTAAAGCCAATGCCCAAGGGGCTGGAGTTGTGGCTCAGTGGAGTAGCGCTTGCCTAGCATATGTGAGGCACTGGAGTCGATTCTCAGCACCACATATAAATAAATAAAATAAAGGTCCATCAACAACTAAAAAATATTAAAAAAAAAAAAAAGCAGTGCCCAACCAGGCATGATGGTGTGCACACCTGTAATCTGAGTGACTGAAAGAGGATAAGACAGGAAGATTGCAAGTTCAAGGCCAGCCTTAGGAACTTTGCCAGACTCTTGTTTCAAAATTAAAAGGGCTAGGGATACAGCTTAGTGGCAAAGTGCCCCTCGGTTGAGTCGCTAGTACTGCCCCCCTCACAAAAAACAATCCCAGGAGCTAGGGGTGTAGCTTAGTGATTGGATGCATGCTTAGCATGCATAGAGTCCTGGGTCTGATTGCCCAGCACTACAAAAAATAATTCCAATGCCCATTTACCCAAGAGAGAAGACCCCTAGGCAAGACAAATAATGAAAGCCCAGAGGGGGAGAATTTCCAGGAATAGGCTGAGAGGTGCAGTTACAGTGACCATGAAAAAAGGCACCGTGCAGGGCTGGCAGGTAGCTCAGTGATAGAGTACTTGTCTAGCATGGGAAAAGCCCTGGGTTCTGTCCCCAACACCACCAACAAAAAGCACTGGGGCAGGAGGAATGTTTCTCCTGCATTTGTTCTCATGGTCATAGCACCCAGGGAAGTACTTTCCTTATCAATTTGCAAATAAGGAAACCTGCTGTAGAAAAAAAAAAGAATTAAGTATCCTTAGGAGTTTAGGTAACCAGGAGGTTATTGGCCACCCTACAAAGAGCAATTTCAGAAGAATCAGGAGTGGGAGGGGCAGTCTCCTTCATACCCAATAACCTGGGCCTTGGGAGGGACCTCATCTGAAGATAAGCAGTGCTGGGAGAGGTGACCCAAGGTAAAGGACTTAAAATAGGCACCAAATGTTTAGTAAAGTGTGTGGGGGAAAAAGTCTTGGGGTGCTGTACTCTAATTTTTTTCTCTAAAGTATGAAAATATGTTTATATTAAAATGTAGCCATGTGTGGTGGTGCACACCAGTAATTCCCAGAGGCCTGGGAGGTTGAGGCAGGAGGATTGTGAGTTCAAAGCCAGCCTCAACAATACAGTGAGGCCCTGAACAATTTAACAAGATCCTGTCTCTAAGTAAAGTATAAAAAGGGCTGGGAATGTGGCTTCATTGTTAAGTGCCCCTGGGTTCCAACCCTGGTACCAAAAAAATTAGCAGAATGTGTCACATTCCACGACTAAACACTCAGGGTCACTCCAGGTGAACTGGGCTACATAAAATAACCACACAGAGACAGAGATACCTTTTTCTTTGGGTCCTGTGACCGCTCCTCTGACCTTAGGGATCTGCAGAAAGAGAGTGAGAGAGAGCACATGCTGAACCCTTTTATTGGGGAGAAGCCATTCAAATGAAGCAAGGGGTCAGATTTCAGTCCGCAGATTGACTAACATCTAGGAAGGCCACACCCAAAGGCAGAGCAAGAGAAGGGGACATACAAAGGGAGTTTCCATGGAACACTCTATCCCAAACAGGACAAAGGGCTAGGATTACAAAAGAATAAGTGAGTGTAGCTCACCCCTAGGGGTATGCCTACTCAGAAGACTGACCTTGCTATCTGAGCAGGGGGAAAAGACCGAGTGACCAGTCATGGCACTACTGCGCCAGAGTACAGTGATCTTTCAGATCCCCATGGTGCATCAGGGCTGGAAAGCGTGGTAACTCAATGTGGCTCCCCACAATAATTGCTACCATTTGCTGGTTTAGGATGAACCAAAGAAAGAACTATGTGCTTATCTCTCCAGCCATCCGTGTGTCCATCCACACTTACGCATAACTTTTCTCACACTTGGTACACGATAAGGATGTGCCTTCCGTTTGACTATTGCGATAAAAGGGTTATTTCTACAAAAATATTCCAAGACAGTATTCATTCTCCCAAGAGCCTGTCATGATCACCCCTTGGTCTTCAAAAGCTCTTTTGAAGTATCTGCTAGGTCACCAGACTTATGTTTCCTTCAGCTATCGCTGCCCTAACTGCCCGGTCCTCTTTGTTAGTGGCTTTGTGGTAATGCAGGCAGTTTTCTCCAGAGTCACTTTTCTGACTGTGCATTTTGCAAAATTTACCCTCCCCCCACTTTTTAAAAAAAAATAAAAGCTCACCTTTTTTATTGAACAGCTACAGTAGGGGTTTAGTAAAGCCCCTTCTTTAATAAAGAAGGATCATCAGACCAGATTCCTTTTTTACTTCTTGCTTCTGCCCAGAAAGGCAGCAGCAGCAGCAGAAGGGCGGGACCTCCTGTTGCTGCAGCACCAGCTGCTGGAGCAGGTCTGCCAGCCCCCGCATTGCAGACGAGGCTCCTGATGTTGACATTGGCCAGAGTCTTTGCAAACAAGCCAGGCTGAAAAGGTTCAACATTTATAGCAGCTGCTTTAATGAGGGCTTTGAGCGATCCTCCATGACGGTCACCTCATTGGAGTGCAGAATGAGGGCAGAGTAGAAGCAGGCACTCCAGCGCACAATTGCCTTTTCACCTTGAAATGGATTTCCCTGGGTCCGACACGTGTCACGCAATTGGTAGTGCTAGAATCTGATACCCGCTGGAGGGGTGATTATGTGGAATTTGTGCTCTAAGCAGTTCCCATCCTAGTCTTGCTGTTGGGGGCTGCTGAATGCAGAGTATTAAAGACTCCCCCCCAACACCTGTATGTATATCTTCTATTCTGGTCTCCCAATTCCACACCATTCCCTCTTTCTCCTCGCCCTGCTCCTGACTTCTTTGTAGTATATACTGACCTTCTCCAGCTGCACACTGCTCAGGTGGGAAAAAAGCGTCCCCCTCATTGCTTTCCTCTCCACTCTGAATACCCCACCCCATCTATCATGGACCTCCTTCTCCTCCTAGTCTAAGACAGGGCTCCCGGGTCACCTTATGGACCAGGTGCAGTGGCGCACACCTGTAATCCCAGCAGCTTGGCAGGCTGAGGCAGGAGGATCACGAGTTCAAAGCCAGCCTCAGCAACGGCAAGGCACTAAGCAACTCAGTGAGAACCTGTCTCTAAATAAAATACAAAATAGGGCTGGGGATGTGGCTCAGTGGTTAAGTGCCCCTGAGTTCAATTCCCCCCGCCCCACAAAAAAAGAATACCAGGTCACCTTAGGGAACACCCAGGAAACCTTACAGGACACACCTCTCCAAGGGATTGTCATTTGCTGTCTGACATGGAATTTACAGAGCTGAATTCTAATCATCTCTGTTTTGTAGGCCCCAAAACACTTGGGCTACATTTGTGTCATTTGGGTATTCCCAGTGTTTAGGTTCTAACTGCTTAGTGAGGATTTGATCCCAGTCCTATTATTTATTGCCTTTGATTTGTCTTTTTTCATTTACATTCACTCCCAAAAATCCTTTCTCATTCCCCGGCATATATATATATAAATTATTATAATTTTTTTAGAGAGAGAAAATCTTTTTTTTTTTTTGTAGATGGACACAATAACAATGCCTTTATTTTTATGTGGTGCTGAAAATCAAACCCGGGTCCCGCCATGCTAGGCGAGTGCTCTACCGCTGAGCCACAATCCCAGCCCAACACATATTTTTTTAAATTTTTTTTTAGTTGTAGATGGATACAATATCTTTATTTTTATTTATTTTTATTATGTGGTGCCAAGGATCGAACCCAGGGCCTCATGAGTGTGAGGCAAGTGCTCTATCACTGAGCTACAATCCCAGCCCCCCAGTCACACATCTTGCTTTGGTTTTGGTTTTGATTTTGAGATGGGGTTTTTCCAAGTTGCCCAGGCTGGCCTCAAACTCCTGGATCCTCCTGCCTCAGCTTTCTGAGTATCTGGGACAACAGGCATGCACTGCCCTGCCTGATCACTCACTTAGAACCAATCCTCATCACTTTTGTCATAAATCAATTACAGTAACTTCCTAAAAATATTTTTGTTTGGAAAATTATTTCAATTTACAGAAAGGTTGCAAGAATAAAAATAACACAAAGAACACCCAATTGCCAGTACCTAGAACATTAAAGTTTTGTTCATTTGTGTAGTGTCTCCTTGCTCTTGCTGTGTCTGTGTGTCTTTTTCTCCTGATCCATTCAGTATGCACTTCCAAAAGAACCTAGGCTTATTCTCTTTCATAATTATAATATAGTTAATGGCATTAGGAAACTTAACATTCATATAATGCTGTATCATTTATCCATTAATTTTGTCAGTTGACCCAGTGACAGCCTTTATAACATTTCCCCCCTGAGTACAGAATCTAATCAAGGACAAGATATTGGACATGTTACTTAACTTCCTTTAATATGGAACATTCCAGTAGCCTTTCTTTTTCTTTTATGACATTAATGTTTTTGAAAAATACTCCTCCTCCTCCTTTTACATTCAGGCTTTGTCTGATGCTTCCTCATCATTAGATTCATATTATGAATTCTTGGCCAGTGTATCATATAGGTGGTGGTGTGTCCTCAGGATATCACATCTGGAGGTCTACAGTGTTGTTCTCCCACCTTGTCGGTGACATTGATTTTGATCACCTGGTTAAGGTATTATCCAGTTCTCCATCGTATCATTCAAGTAGAGTTATTTTTTACCAAATTCATAAAGTTTTACCAAATGTATCAAATTCATAAATTAAGTCTGGATATTACAATGAATGTTCATGTCTGGGAACTTACTACTAAATTGCCATTTTAAGTGGTCATGTAGAAACTTTCTCATTCTTTGAAACCATAGATTACAGTGGAACCATTATAACCTATTTTATTCTCCTTTCTTCTTTGCCATTAAAAACTATACAGAAGCAGCTGTGCCCCCGTGGGTCGACAGTCATGATGAAGAAACAATTCAACAACAAATCTTGGCCTTATCTGCTGTAAGTTTCTTGAGATATCCTGAATATAAAGTACTTACTTCCTATCCTTGTACATCTCTGTAGATATAACTTTGTCCTTAACTGAATTTTTTCTTCTATAGTTTTTCTTAAACATTTTGAGATGTTAGAAATGTCCACATCAACTGTTATTGTTATTTTTTATTAACTTTCTAGATTTGGGCTTTTTAGTTGTTGTTGGGCCATGCTTGGGATTGAATCCAGGGCTACTACATGCTAGATAAGTGCTCTGCTACTGAACTACATTGTCAGCCCTTCTTATTTTCAATTAGTTTATCCTTAAGGTATTTTGTTTTTTTCATAATGTAAAAGTATAGCCTATTATGTGAAAATTCTTTCAGCCTTAAAAGGATACTTTTGGCCAGGCATGGTGGCACATGCCTATAATCCCAGTGACTTGGGAGACGGTGACTAGAAAACTGATGCAAGGAGGATCCCAAGTTTAAGACCAGCCTCAAAGACTTAATGAGACCCTATCTCAAAATAAAAAGTAATTTAGGCCAGATGCTGTGGTGCACACCTATAATCCGAGCATTTTGGGAAGCTGAGGCAAGAGGATCACAAATTCAAAGCCAGCCTTGGCAATTTAGAAAGGGTCCTAAGCAAGACCCTGTCTCAAAATAAAAAATAATAAGGGCTAGGGATGTGGCTCAGTGGTTAAATACCCCTGGTTGGGTTCAATCCCCAATTAAAAAAAAAAAAAAAAGATTGCTGGGCCAGTGGTATAGGCATGTAATCCCAGCAGCTTGGGAGGCTGAGACAGGAGAATCACAAGTTCAAAGCCAGCCTCAGCAACTTTGAGGCGCTAAGCAACTCATTGAGAACTTGTCTCTAAATAAAATATAAAATAGGGCTGCAGAGTCAGTGATCGACTGCCCCTGAGTTCAATCCCTGGGTACTAAAAGAAAAAAAGGTTGGTTTATAACAGGGCAAGGGAAAGTTGAGGGGAGCCAGTTATTCTCCTCTCCTCTCTCTGTTGTATGCATCCTAGCACAATGCCTTTTGCATCAGAAACTTGCAAAAGGAGGGCTGGGGGTGTAGCTCGGTGGTAGAGCATGTGCCTAGCATGCTCAAGGCCCTGTGTTTGATCGCCTGCACCAAAAAATTTTAAATAAAAAGAAATTAGCAAGAGGCACCAGGTGTGCAGGAGTGATCTGTTGAAAGGATTGTGTGAAAAAGTTAGAAGCAACTAACTTTCAAGTTCATAATCCTAAGGTGGCAGGATCTTGCTGTGTCACCATCCCTGTGGGTAGTATCCCACCCTGTGGCAGTGTTCATCTTGCAGAGTCAAGTGATTGTTCTGGATTAAAGTGTCCAGAAAACCTACATGATGTGTAAGATAGCACACTGAGTTTGAAACTCTGCTAAAGCAGAACTGTACCTGGGAGGGGCAGACTTGGAGTTCTGGCTGTGCCCCTCAATAGACCACATGCCTGACCTTGGACAGGCCATTTTTGCTTCCCTAACCCTTTTTCCTCATGTGTAAAATAAGAATAGAGGTGTTTGCTTCCTGGAATCCTTAGCAAATAGGCCAGAATAGTGGGTAAGTATTGAGCAATAATTTGTACCCACTCTGAGAAGAACCACTGTCTCCCTTACTGGTTAAAAAGGGCTGGAAATTTAAAAAAATAATAATAAATGAAAACATTTTCTAAAAAAAGAAATAAAGGGCTATAGATATAGCTCAGTTGGTAGAGTACTTGCCTTGCATGCACAAGAAGGTTCAATCCCCAGCACCATACAAAAAAAAAGAAAGAAAGAAAGAAAAAGGGTTGGGGGTGTAGCTCAAAAGTGATAGGCAAGCACCTAGCACTTTTCTGGGATGTGTGAGGCCCTGGGTTTGATCCACAGCACTGCAAAAAAGAAAAAAGAAATGAGATGGGTTTTTCCCACATGACCACACGGCTCACTGACTCTTCAACTTTGGGTTAGAATGTTTCTAAGAGGATTTACATTCGTTTTTCACATACCTAATGGTGCCCACTAAAACAAACGTGTATCTGTATGATTTCAAAATATGTGCTTTCAGCCAGTCACATGATTGAATTGCCTGGCCTCCCAAGAGGCTCTCTCCAGGTGAGTGTTAAAAAATCCATGAAAGGATCTGTTGTTCTCTAGTCTCTCTTAAAGTGGGTAGGTCAGTGATAGCTTAGTGGACTTTGTGGTTGAAGGCTCTAAGTGGAATTCAATACTTGTCCAATCTATGAACATTGTGACCTATTAATTGCAGTTTGTGGTTCCCCCCCCCCATGTTTTTCTCCCTTTTCATCAAAGGACAAGCGGAATTTCCTTCGCGACCCTCCGGCTGGTGTGCAATTTAATTTTGACTTTGACCAGATGTACCACATTGCCCTGGTCATGCTCCAAGAGGACGAGTTACTGAGCAAGATGAGATTCGCCCTGGTTCCTAAACTGTAAGCACTGTTCCCAAGCTGGAGTGGCACTGCTCACACAGCTCTGACTTCCATTTCCTGATGGCCATGGTTATGTGCACAGTGACAGGGAAGAATCATCAAAGAGAGGGCCAGAATAGTCTCAAGACTATCCACCCATAAAAATGGGCCCTGCAGCCCTTCACAGTTCCCAGCTGGCAGGGTGCCATCGACTCCAAACCCAGGACCGACTTGGCAGGAAGTTTGTGGTGAGGATAGGATGTGCTCTTATCCCAGTTAGAAGGTGGAACACGTTTTCTTTCAGAAACAACAAATATTCCTGTGTCTCCTCAAATAAAAGTCAGGCCTACAGAGCTCATTAAGACCATTGCCATTTTAGAACAGGCTCCTGCCTTTTTTCAAGCCAAGGATGTTCTCTATTCAGGCTGTGCTCTCCAGCAGCTGTGTTTTGTTCTTGTTCTTGTAGTCTTTCCTCCACCCGAAGGCCTTTCCCCACTCAGAAAATCCCTGCTGGGGGCTGGGGATGTGGCTGAAGCGGTAGCACGCTCTCCTGGCATGCGTGCGGCCCGGGTTCGAGCCTCAGCACCACATACAAACAAAGATGTTGTGTCCGCTGAAAACTAAAAAATAAATATTAAAAAAAATTCTCTCTCTCTCTCTCTCTCACTCTCTCTTTAAAAAAAAAAAAAAGAAAAAAGAAAATCCCTGCTGTCCCTTTAGCTCCATCACAAATAAGCATGTGCTCTCAGACCTGGCTTTGCCAGCAGGGGGCACCCTTCTCCTCTGCTGCTTCCTTTGGCTTTTGTGTTCCTTTCCTCATCCTTTTCTAGTTCATTCCCTTGTGTTGAATTTGTCGTGTGCATTTGTTGTTTTTTTGTTTGTTTGGGTTTTTGTTTTTGTTTTTGGCATCAGAAATTAAACCCAGGGGCAGTTAACCACTGAGCCATATCCCCAGCCCTTTTTTATTTTTTGAGACAGGGTCTCACTAAGTTGCTTAGGGCCTCACTAAGTTGCTGAAGCTAACTTTGAACTTGTGATTTTCCTGTCTCAGCCTCCCGTGCCACTGAGATTTCAGACATGCTCCACCACACCCAGTTTCTATCATGTTTAATAATACTGGGTTTTTTGTTGTTTGTTTATTTGTTTATTTATTTATTTATTTATTTTGAGAATACTTGGGATTGAACCCAGGGATGCTCTACCACTGAGCAACACCTCCAGCTCTTTTCATTTTTTAAGACAGGAAGACAGGATATCACTAAGTTGCTGAGCCTGGCCTTGAACCTTGCACTCTTCCTACTTCAGTCTCCTGAGTAGGTGGCATCACAGGCACTTTTAGCACTCTTACTCTTGTTCTTGGATACATGATCTTCCTCTTCCCTGAGACATGGATTATAATTTTCTTGACATACATTTTTTTCCTATGTGGATTGTTTGGTTTTTTGTTTCTTTGGCACTGAGGATTGAACCCTGGGGTACTTAACCACTGAGCCATATCCCCAGCCCTTTTTTATATTTTATTTAGAGACAGGGTCTTGCTGAGTTGCTAAGTGCCTCACTAAGTTGCTGAGGCTCACCTTGCACTTGTGATCCTCTTGCCTCAGCCTCCCAAACCGCTGGGATTACAGGCATGCACCACCACGCCTACCTCCTATGTGGTTTTCTCAGAATCTCTTTGTTTATTTTGGACTCTGTTGTTTGTGTTGCAGACCCTGCTTACCCATTCTTCTGCAGTAATGGTGCTGTGCTTAAAGGGTACTTGGACACTCCATGTTGGGACAGGCCTTTTGGATTGTGGTAGCTCAGTAGCTATAAAAGAGTAGCTTCCCATATACAACCAGAGATATGAAAGATCATGCTCCATATGTGTAATAAGAATTGTAATGCATTTCACTGTCATGTATAAATTTAAAAAAAAGAGTAGCTTCCCCATAGAAGTCTCCTCAGCCTCCTGGCTGGCTATAGATAGGAAACAGAAAAGGGCCTGCTTCTCTCTGGCTGCACACCCCCACTTCTGCAGGCAGCCCGGCGCAGCTTTCTCTGGTCAACAAAGTAGGTTACTATTTGCCTGTTGACTTTTCAGCTTCCACCGTCCCTCGCTCTCCTGTTCTCATCGTCCTTGTGGGATTAATCTGTTTAATTCCTTTTCTGTTATTTCCGTGGCATTTTCCGAGGGAGTTGAGATGAGCACATGTTTGTTTTGCTATGTTTAGCTGGCCACATAGGGATTTTGACAAATATTGCCTAGCCTTTGGGTCCACACAGGAGCACAGGTCTTTGTGTCTATGAAAGCACCTCTTTTGAAATGATCTACCAGACGTGAAAAACCAGTTATATAGAATCCTTTCTTTCTGTTTTTTTTTCTTTATAGTGAAACTCTTCTCTCCACCATTATTAACATATTGGTGGTAAATTTCTACAGCTTTACCTACCCTCCCCAAAGAAAAACATGTTTTTTTTTAATTTGTCAATTGTCCTTTATTTTATTTATTGATATTCAGTGCTGAGAATCGAACCCAGTGCCTCACATATGCTAGGCAAGCACTCTGCCACTGAGCCCCAGCCCCAGCCCCCAAAAACATGTTTTATGGCTAAAATTTCATTACAGATCTCATCTATAGATCTGTCTAAAAATAGCTCCTTTTAAAAGTCAATGATATAAAGAAAATGTACCATCTAATTTTTGAAAAATATTTCTTTTAGTTGTAGATGGACACAATACCTTTATTTTACTTATTTTTTTTTATATGGTGCTGAGAATCGAACCCAGGACCTCACACATGCCAGGCAAGTGCTCTACCACTGAGCCACAACTTCAGCCCCCATCTAATGTTTCATTGCATATGCTCATAAAACTTTAGAAATTTGCTTTTTTTTGGGGGGGGGGCTTTTTTGTTTTTGTGGTTCTGGGGATTGAATCCAGGGCTTCTATCACCAAAGTATATGCCCAGCCCTTTTCTAATTTTATTTTGATACAAGGTCTTGCTGTGTTGCCCAGGCTGGCCTTGAACTTGCAATACTCTTGCCTCAGACCCCCAAGTAGCTGGCATTACAGGCGTGTGCCACTGCGCCCAGCAGGCATTGACTGTTTTTTAATTTTTATTTTGTTTATCATTACGTGGTGCTGAGGATCAAACCCAGTGCCTCACATGTATGAGGCAAGCACTCTACCACTGAGCCACAACCCCAGCCCCAGGCATTGACTTTTAAACCCTTTATATATATAATGTGTGTATGAGTGCGTATCTGTTTGAAGCTCTTTCATCTTATAATTTGAGATCATGCCTAGTCTGTATAACTGCCTCCGAGGGAAGAGTAGCAAGGCTGTGGGGTCCAGGTGGGCTTCATGACCTTTAGACTCCATCAACCTCAGGATCATTCAAATCACTCTGGGCCATGTGCTAGGCTCCCTGCCATAACTCATGTCAAGTATCATCAAGCACTGAGTTGGTGGTACCTATAGCCCAAGGTACTTAGGGCAGGAATATCCACAATTTTGGTTCTTGACTATTTTGGATCCTCTCTGCTGATAATTTTAATTTTTCTCTTTGTTTATGGTACTGGGGATTGAACCCAAGAGTACTCCACCACCAAGCCCCTTTTTAGTTTTTATTTTGAAACAGGGTGTCACTAAGTTGCCCAGGCTTGTCTTGAACTTGTGATCCTCATGCCTCAGACTTCAAGTTGCTGGGATTAAAGACATGCCTGGCTGAATGGTTGTTTTTGTTAATCTGAAGAGCAAACTGTGCCCATGAGTCACCATGGAGACATAAGTACACCCACGGTTCATGTTGGGCATTTCATGGAGCTTAGAATTAAGAGGGATTTAGGCAACCCACTACCTCCTGGGAAGGGCCAGTTCATTTTTGTATGGTTCCGATGTTATATGGTTTAAGATCCTAGAGCTTGTCAGGTTAAACAGGCCCAATGCTTAGTTCCTCGGGGGTCTTCTTTTGGAGTGGGGGTATCAGGGATTGAACTCAGGGGCACTTGACTACTGAGCCACATCTCCAGCCCTATTTTGTGTTTTATTTAGAGACAAGGTCTTGTTGAGTGCTTAAGGCCTCGTTAAGTTGCTGAGGCTGGCTTTGAACTCGTGATCCTCCTGCCTCAGCCTCTCAAGTCACGGGGATTACAGGTGTGTGCCATCACACCCAGCCCCTCTCTTTACCTCTGTATCCTCCTTACTATATAGGTGATTTGCCTCCAAATATCATTGTTGATTTTTTTTGTTGTTATTGTTTTGTTTTTTAGGGGTTTTTTTGCTACTAGGGATTGAACCCAGAGGTGCTTTACCACTGAGTCACATCCCCAGCCCTTCTTATTTTTGAGACAGGGTCTCACTAAGTTGCTTAGGGCCTCATTAAGTTGCTGAGGCTGGCCTCAAACTTGCAATCCCCCTGCCTCAGCTTCTATAGTTGCTGGGATTACAGGCATGTGTCACCACACCCAGCTCTAGATACCTTTTGAATTGTCAGTGTCCCCATTAAAATGAGTTCTCAGGAGTGAATGTGATGTTTCCTACTTGCAGGAGACTTCTCTTGTGCAATTTTTAATGTAGGTGAAGATTTCATTACCTCTCCCCACACCCTGCCCCTGCTTTGGTTCTGAGGATTAAGGAACACTTTACTACTGAGCTATACCCCAACCCTTTTATTTTTTTATTTTCAGACAGGATCTTTTTCAGTTGCCCAGGCTGACCTCATACTTGTGATCCTCCTGTCTCAGCCTTAGCCTTGTGAGTTGCTGGGATTACAGGTCTGCACCACTGTGCCTGCTTCATTAGCTCTTTTGGCAGCTGTAATATACTGTTGCTTGCTCAGTTAAACTCGCGGTCAGCTATAACCAATTATAAACTGCTGGTAAGCCAGCTCTCCATTTTGCAAAACTACTTCCAAAAGATGTTATGAGAAAAAGGGAATTGTGAGCCAGGCACTGTGGTACATGCCTGTCGTCCTAGCTGCTCAAAAGATAGAGGCAGTTTGATGGCTTAAAGTTTAAGGCCAGCTTGGGCAACTTAGTGAGACTAGCCTCTCTTAAAAATAAATGAATAGCCGGGCACAGTGACATATGGCTGTAATCCCAGCGGCTTGGGAGGCTGAGGCAGGAGGATTGCTGAGTTAATAGTCAGCCTCAGCAAAAGTGAGGCACTAAGCAACTCAGCAAGACCCAGTCTCTAAATAAAATACAAAATAGGACTGGGGATGTGCCTCGGTGGTTGAGTGCTCCTGAGTTCAATCCCTGGTACCAAATAAATAAATAAAACTAGAGATATAGCTCAGTGGTAGAGCACTTGCCCTAACATGCATAAGGCCCTGGGTTCAATCACCACACTGCAAAAGAGTAACAGAGAAAGAGAAAAAGAGACATGTAACCACATGGGTTCGGGAAATGCTTGGTACATAGTAAGAACTTAATAAGCTGGGCAGGGTGGCGCTTGCTTATAACCCAGTGACTTAGGAGGCTGAGGCAGGAAGATTGCAAGTTCAAGGCCAGCCTGGGCAACTTGGCAAGACCCTGTCTCAAAATAAAAATTAAAAAAAGGACTAGGGGTGTAACTCAGTGTAAAGTGCCCCTGGGTTCAATTTCCAGTACCAAAAAGAGTTTAACAAGTGAGAGGTTACTATGCCTGTGACTGACTATCTGTGATGGCAGACAACTTGTTTTATCCATCCCTGCATCCCTCCAGCACCTAACATGATGCTTGACACATGTGACACTTTATAAATATTAGTGGAATTCATAAAAGAAAAGATGGGCCATATCTTGCAGCAGATTCCATCTTGTTGCCTGGCCTAGCTTGTGTAGATTATTTGCATTTTGTCCCCGACACTAAAAAAACTAGTTTCCTGGCCCAGCTCCACTATTTACAGTTGTGATGACCATGATATCATTGCAATTTTTTTTTTCAGTGCTGAGGATTGAACTCAGGGTTTGTACATGCTAGGCAAGCACTCTGCCACCGAGCTAAATCCCGCATGTGACCAAGCTTCTATTTTCGCCTTCACCCCCTCCTCTCCTTGGTTCTTACTCCATTCCAGGTCACTCATCATAGGCACTTAGCTTAACCCACTTGGATGCCAACACCCCATGCCAGGCAGTTCTCATATGCAGCCAAGTTTGAGAACCAGCGACAGTTCTCAAGTTGAACTGCACTTCACTCATTTTATCAACCACTTCCTGAAAGGCCTGGGGGTATAGTTCAGTGGTTGAGCATTTGCCTATCATGGGTGAGGCCCTGGGTTTGGTCCCCAGCACCAGGAGCTGGCAAGGGGGGCAGTAAGCTCTGTAATCATCCCCTGCCACATCACTAACTCTTACCAGTTGCTAGTTAATTAGCAAGCTGCCCACCCCTTTCTTTCATAAGGAACAACACCCACAATGCTTTCTTACTGTTTGAAAGCATTTAATCCTCTAGGAAACAGCTAATGATTGGTGGAGTCCTGGCTCTGCTTCCAGTCCCCTGCCTTGGTCACACTGCCTCACAACAATTCTGTTTCCCTCTCCCAAGGCCAGTGTTGGTCTCCTTAACCCATTAAGTCCCAAGATTTCAACTCTGTAAATGTTTCAACCGCACAGGTGCATTAAAATAGGTTAATATGTGTTGCTCAAATTAAGTTTTTGTACATGTTGCACATCTGGGACAGTGGGACAGAATAGACTAAAATACCAAGAAGTCAGGCATGATGGGTCATGCCTGTAATCTCAGCAACTTGAAAAGCTGATTCAGGAGAATCATAAGTTCAAGGCAAGCCTTGGCAACTTCGTAAGACCCTGTCTCAAAATAAAATTTAAAAATGAAATGGATGGATGATGTAGCTCAGTGGTAGAACACTTGCCTAGCATGCACTAGGCCCTGGGCTCCATCCCCAGTACCTAAAAAATGCTAAAAATGCTGCACTTTCATTGGTGTTATATAACTTGTTTGTTTGTTTTTTTTTTTTTTTTTTTTTTTTGCCACTAAGGAGGAGATAGCTGTTCTGTTTATTCTGTTGTTCAGCTTTGAGTTGTAAAGCAAATGAGAATTTCCTTTGAACCACATTCAGATTTAAAAATGCTCCTAAAGAGGGGGAGGGAAGGATAGGATAACATAAAGATGAAGGGAGGATCAGTAACATAGAAACATAGAAGAAGGAGACCAAGAGACAGAGTGGAGGGATAAGGAAGGGAAGGCAATGCAGATGAAGTCTTTTTTTTTTTTTTTTTTTTTTTTTTTTTTTGTACCAGGGACTGAATTCAGGGACAGTTGAGCACTGAGCCACATCCCTAGCCTTATTTTGTACTTTATTAGAGACAAGATCTTACTGAGTTGCTTAGTGTCTCACTAAATTGCTGAGGCCGCTTTGAACTTGCAATCCTCCTGCCTTCACCTCCGGAGCCGCTAGGATTACAGGTGTCCTCCACCGCGCCCGGCTCAGAATGGAGTCTTAAAAATCATGTTATGTGGGGCTGGAGTTGTGGCTCAGAAGTAGAGTGCTTGCCTAGCATGCGTCAGGCACTGGGTTCGATCCTCAGCACCACATTAAAAAAAAATAATAATGGTATTGGGTCCACCTCCAACTAAAAAATAAATGTTTTTAAAAAAATAAAGGTCCGGGCTGGGGATGTGGCTCAAGCGGTAGCGCGCTCGCCTGGCATGCGTGCGGCCCGGGTTCGATCCTCAGCACCACATACAAACAAAGATGTTGTGTCTGCCGAAAAACTAAAAATAAATAAATAAATAGAAGTGTTTAAAAAAAAAAAAAATAAAAAAATAAAGGTCCATCAACATCTAAAAAAACATGTGTATATATAAATATACATAGGGAATTTCAACTTTATGTATAGGTAGAGAGAACCAATCAAATATAAATAGATGAGTGAAAGAAAATCTATTAGAATAGAGGAAGGAGAACGGGGGAGAGGAGGAAGTGGGGGGGTCATGAACTGAAATCGAATTCCATGCATGTATGAATTTGTCAGGATGAACCCAAATATTATATATAACTATATAAAGCTAATTTCAAATAAAATAAAATAAAAATTCTCCTAAAACTCATCTATTCCAGCATCTGTGGTGTAACTCAGCGGTAGAGCAGTTGCCAGGCATGCATAAGGCCCTAGCTTCAACTCCTAGTACTGCAAAAAAAAAAAAATCATTTATTCAGGTCTCCTCTGCAACAGATAGCCCCTGCATGCACATTCATTCTCACCTGCACCTTTGTCTATCTTTAAAAGGGTGAAAGAAGAAGTGTTTTGGAGGAACTACTTTTACCGTGTCTCCCTGATTAAGCAGTCAGCTCAGCTTACTGCCCTGGCCGCCCAGCAGCAGGCCTCAGGAAAGGAGGAGAAAAGCAACAATAGAGAGAATGATTTGCCTCTGACAGGTATGTTCTGGGGATAAGACTTCAACTCCAGAAAAAGAGAATTACTGTAAAAAAAAATTTCTTAGAGATGCTAATGAGCTTGTCATCTTGTATGTACCAGAAATGTTGACATCACTATAGAGAAAAATTCTTTTTCTTTCCAGAGGAAATTTTCATTCTTGTTGCCCTCTCTCTGACCCAGCTCACCCATATCTTCCCCAGGCCTTCCATTACTATGCTATTCTTGGTGTTTTTTTTTTTTTTTTTTTTCTTTCTCCAACACCAATCATCCTCCCCACATCTCTATTCTTTCCCTTTACCATGTTCTACTTCCTGACCTCCACTGTCATTCAGTCACTCTCCTTCCCTTTGTTTCTCGGACTGTCATTCAACCTTGTTTCCTCTGTATGTGTGGTCTGTGGAGTAGAGCAAGCTCCGTTGTGCCCCAAATTACAAGTGTCCCGCTCCAAGCTCAGTTCTATTCAGTTAAACATTTGATGCTTTCTTCTTGTGATATGGTAGCCCTGGTTGTGAGAGAAAGACTTTTATGATATCAGCAACTATTTGCACCTATTAAATATCTTATACTAATTAAAATAAGGAATGTGGGTGCTGGGGATGTGGCTCAGTGGTACAACACTTGCCTAGCATGCATGAGGCCTTGGGTTTGATTGAGTAATACAAAATAAACTGTAGTTTGTTTATTTGTTTGTTTGTTTGTTTGTGGTACTGGGAATTGAACCCAGGGCCTTGTGCATGAAAGGCAAGCACTCTACCAACTGAGCTATATCCTCAGCCCCCAAAAAATGTATTTTGTGCAATATTTTTAATTTTGTATGAGTACCCGCTGTGTATAGGTAGGTACTAATTGCACCTGGACATTCATCCCACAGTAAGTGGGGTAATTTTAGTTTGCAGAATTTTAGATGATTAAGGAAAACAGCATGACCTAAGATTAGGGTTGTATAGACTGTTGAAAAGACTCCAAAACTGCATTAGGGTCAGGTAAATATAATGAAGTTCCTCCCCACAGGGTGATTTGTCGTTTGGCCTATAGATGTTAATATTGCATCCCAATGGGCTATCCTTTTTTTTTAATATTACTTTTACTGAAAAATAACCATTTTGCCAAATCCTGCCTGTGTAACAAAATGGACTTAAGACAGTATTTGGTAAAGACTGTCAATCTTTAAGTTTATTAAGATAGAAATATGAGGCCCATGAGAAAGAGAATACTGTGACTGAGTATTGACAACAGGGAAACTTTGCTAAACAACTCCATTCTCATTATCCTCAAAGATCAGAATTAATTTTGCTAACACTGAAGTCAAAAATTATTTCCTGCTAGAAATTTTTATATAAAGGGCATTCAAGAGCTGGGCATAGTGCTGCATGCCTGTAATCCCAGCAGCTCAGGAAGCTGAGGCAGGAGGATGGTGAGTTCAAAGGCAGCCTCAGCAACAGTGAGGCTCTAAATAAAATACAAAATAGGGTTGGGGATGTGGCTCAGTGGCTGAGTGCCCCCTGAGATAATCCCTGGTACCCCCCTCAGAAAAGGGGGGCATTCAATATGGTAACATTAAAATATCCCCAAAAGCAAGAGTTTGAGATGGTTGCTCATGGCTGTTTCTTGTAATAACTTAACAAAAAGCTGAAAATATAGAATATCATTTCTGAAAATTATTTAGTATCATTATACTTGTGGATATTTTAGCAGTTATTGTAATATGTATTCAGAACTGAATCAAGCAATTATTCTCTTTTATTCTCACTTCTTAGAGGCAGTACGGCCCAAAACGCCACCTGTCGTAATCAAATCTCAGCTTAAAACTCAAGAGGTAATACAGTTTTATGTTGTACCTAGTAGTTGATGTCTGAAAATGAAGTAACTGAGTTAACAATCTCTGATACCGCTTAAGACTGCTTAGGAGTGTGGGTCTTATCTGTTTCTAAGATAAGGAGTCCAGTATTTGAATAGTCAAGGACCGACAGCCACTAGGTGACTTGCTGGCATAAATCATTGTAGATGTGCTCAGCAGGGATTAGAAGAAATGGTGAGAGTGATCCAGACTGTGAGAACAAATAATAGCCTCGGGTGGTAACTCATTTAGTTACCAAGCAACTGTGCAAGTTAGACGGTTGGAGAGCAGTGGTCACTGTCTTCCAGCTAGCAGAGGAGAGAACAAAAACCAGGCTGTATTCCACTGAGACAACTGTAGGCCAGAATTCTAGCGCATAAATGTCACCGAGGAAGTCATGTCAAGAACTCTTGTGTTGCATTTCAGGATGAGGAGGAGATTTCTACTAGCCCAGGCGTTTCTGAGTTTGTCAGTGATGCTTTCGATGCTTGTAACTTAAATCAGGAGGATTTAAGGAAGGAAATGGAGCAACTTGTGCTTGACAAAAAGGAAAATGAGGCAGCTGGACTCGAAGGTAAAAAAAAAATGAATAAAAAAGAAAAAACTTGTTCTTTTCCTTAAATCCAACATTGATTGCATAAAAATGTTATCTTTAAGCTGATATACAGCCAGGTATGGTGACATGCACTTGTAATCCCAGATACGTGGCAGAAAAATTGGTTCAAAGGCAGGCAGCCTGGGTAACATAGTTATACCCCATCTCAAAAAGATTATTTATATACATATTGTATATATAAATTATATTAATTATATATAATATTATATTATATATTATTAATGTAATATATAATTAATGTAACAAAATTATATAATAATATGATTATATATTATGTTAATTATATAATATATTATAATATTATATATATTAAGGGGGCTGATGATGTAGCTCAGTGGTTAAAGCCTCTGGGTTCAATCCTTGGTACCAAAAATACAATGGAAAAACAAGAAACCGAAAGAGAGAGGGAAAGCCAGTATATAAAATTGCAATGTAAATTTGGCATCAAAGTTGATTTTTGGAGGGCTGGGGCTGTGGCTCAGTGGTAGAGCACTTGCCTGGCATGTGCAAAGCCCTGGCTTCCATTCCCAGCACCACAAAAAAAAAAAAAGAAAGAAAAAAAATTTGATTCTCATTGGCATTCTGTACCCCTTGTCATCAGGACTTGCTGCCCCAATTCAAGAATTGTAAATAAAGCCAATTAAAATCTGCAGAAAAGAGGTTAGGGGTATAGCACTTGCCTAGCTTGCATGAAGCCCTGGGTTTAATGCCCAGCACTGCAAAAAAGTATATATTTCTGTTCCTACTAGAAGGTAGATGCTAGCAAGCATGATCAGACCTTATGTTCCTCTATCTTAAGCACTCCCAAAAGATTTGGGAGTTTGGTTTGATATTAAAGCTCCCCTGGTAAAACCCCCAAGTTCAGGACCAGGCTTGCCAACTTATTTTTGGGGATGGGGTACTTGGGATTGAACTCAGAGGCACTTGATCACTAAGCCACACCCCAGCCCTATTTTATATTTTATTTAGAGACAGGGTCTCACTGAGTTGCTGAGTGTGAAGCTTTTGCTGAGTTGACTTTGAATTCGTAGTCCTCCTGCCTCAGTCTCCGGAGACACTGAGATTATAGGCATGTGCCACCCAGCTCGTCAACTTATTTTGAACTCTATCTCAAAATAAAAAACATAAAGGGCTGGAGATGTAGCTCTGTGGTAAAGTGCTCCTCCTGCATTCAATTCCCAGTACCACCAAAAAAAAAAAAAAGATTGAGTTAATCATTATCAAATGAAGAGTTTAGCTGAGTGCAGTGTTGCATACCTATAATCCCAAGTCACTGGCTCACACCGGAGGATGGTAAGTTCAAGACCAGCCTCAGCAACTTAGCAAGACCCTTTCTCAAAATAAAAAATTAAGAGGCTGGGATTGTGGCTCAGCGGTAGAGCGCTCACCTAGCATGGGCGGGACCCGGGTTTGATCCTCAGCACCACATTAAAAAAAAAAATAAAGGCATTGTGTTGTGTCCATCTACACCTAAAAAAAATATTTAAGGAAAAAAAAATTAAAAGGACACTAAATGTAGCTCGGTGGTAAAGTGCCCCTGGGTTCAATCTCCAATACCCAAAAGGAAAAAAAAAAAAAAAGCGAGTGAACAGTTTCCTGAAACCTTTTTCAGATTTACAGGACATCCAGCAAACCAGCAGTTCCTACAGTTGTTCAGAAAAGTGGCCTAGAAAGGTGAACCTGAACTCTATTTTGCTTACCATCTCAGAGTTCCTCTGAGGACAGAATTAAGAAAGAAGGGTGTAGGGCATGGCCAAGAGAAATAAGTGGGCAAGTGAAAACCTACACTCCAGAGCCCACCCACTTTCTGTCTGTTTTTTGATAAGAGAAGGGTAGGTTCTGGCCACCACAGAAGGAAGGAGTGCATGAGCCCGTGTGTTGTAGGCAATAGCAAGAGAAAACTTTCCACGGCTTCCTTTAATGGGTAATGACACTAGTAGCAGAGACCCCTGAGGAGGCAAGCAGGGGCTGACATCTTTGTTTCCATATTAATAAATTGTTCTAATTATATTGTTCCTTGATCACTTTATTTTTTTTTTCTTAGTGCATAAAGAAGCTTGAGACATTGGGCTTGGGGAGCTAGCTCAGTGGTGGGGAGCTTGCTTAGCTTATGTGAGGCCCTTGGGTTCTATCCCCAGAGCCACAAAAATAAATTACCATGGCTAGGACTTGCATAGGTAATTAAAGTTGCCTAAATTGTTACTACTGCCAGCATTGAATTCAGTGAAAAATCTTTCTTTTCCTTTTCCTTTGTTCCTTGCAGAAGATTCTGCTGATTGGGAAAAGGAGCTGCAACAGGAGCTTCAAGAATATGAAGTGGTGACAGAATCAGAGAAGCGGGATGAAAATTGGGATAAAGAAATAGAGAAGATGCTCCAGGAAGAAAACTAGCTGCCTCCTGAAATTAAAATAATAATAATAATCCTTAACGTTCTACAAAGTGACATGAAATTCTAAATGTTAAGCGTTCGCTCGATGAGTCACAAGGCACAAGAGTGTAACTTTATGAAATTCCAAATTATTCTTTTTTCCAGCTAAAACTTGCCTCTTCTACTTTAAAAAAGTATATAGAACGGTTATTCTAATAATCAAGAAAAGGGATGTTTTATGGGTAGCATTTCTTTAATATAAATTGAATTAGAGATGTTCTTATAGGCAGTAGGGAATATCTTTGCCACAGAAACACAGGTAAAATTTTAGGTTATGTTTTCAGTCGTGGTTTTCAAAACATTCATATTCCTCATTGCATTTTTGTTGATACATGATGTTAAAGTACTTAATGGATTGATTACTATCAAAATGACCAAATTATACCAAAGAACTTAAGAGGAAGCACTTTCAGGACTATTTCCTTGCAAGGTATTTTCTAAAATTCCATCTGAAAGCCAAAAGGTAAAATAGTGAAGTTGATTTTAATTATATAAACATCACACAATTTGACATTAAGATAAGCTATAGCCTGGCACAGGGGGCACTCCTGTAGTTCCAGCAACTGAGGAGAGCAAGCCAGGAGAACCTCAAGTTTGAGGCCAGCCTGGGCAATGTAGCAATACCCCGTCTCAAAAAATAAAAAGGGCTGGGGATGTAGCTCAGTGATAGACTCTCTAGGCTCTGAGTTTGATCACCAGCAAAGCAATTTTAAAAAAAATATCTGGGCATGGTGGGGAGCCCCTGTAATTCCAATTACTTGGGAAACTGAGATAATAGGGATGCAAGTTTGAAGCCAGCCTGAGCAACTTAGTGAGATCTTCTCTCAACATAAAAAGGACTAGAGGTGTAAGTTCAGTGGTGGAGTGATTGCCTATCATGTGTGAGTCCCTGGGTTCAATACCCAGAACCAAAACAACAAAAAAAAAAAAAACTGTGCAAACGTGTTTGTAAAAAATGTGTCTTTCTGTGGCACTGTGGTGCACACCTGTAATTTCAGTGGCTCGACTCGAAAGTCTGAGACAGGAGGATCATAAGTTCAAAGCCAGCCTCAGCAACTTATCGAGACCCTGTCTCAAAAGAAAAAGGTCTGGGAATGTGGCTCAATGATTAAGCATCTCCAGGTTCAATCCCTGGTACCAAAAAAAAAAAAAAATTCCCTTGGGCCTCCTCTTAAAAAAAAAAAAACTATACCACAAATTTCACTTCATGGTTTTCATAGTTTTTGTAGACAGTGGAGCCTTCTTTCCTCTGTCCTTTTTTGTATTAATCACATTCAGAAGCCCATTCACCTATTAATGTCTATTGTTCTTTTAATGGTCACTACATGTACATGTTCTAGCTTTGTCTTAATTAAACTGTCAGTCTTTATGGAATTGTGTTCTTGAGTACAACTCTAGAACTTATTGATTAAAACTTGTATTCTGCTATACCAGCAGGCCCATGTTTGTAGAATATGATTTTTTTTAAAGGAGCAAGGTGGTTGAACATTAGGAACTTGCTAAGCATTTGTTTTCCCAAACCTTCTGTATTTTTCAAGCAACCTTTAATTTCATAAAGGGGAATAAAATCAAGACATTTATTTATAAGAAAAACGTACATATTGATATTCTTGGACTCATAAAACTTAGTCTCTGGTCCTCTGGCAAAGTCATAGTCAATAAGTCAACCCTTGTGTTTGTAGATGGGCACATGTGAATGAGCCAGGCTGCTTCAGATAGTGTTATTTGGGTTATAGCAATAAACTCATGTATGCTATGAAACATCAGCCTCATTATCAAAAGATTTCCACTTGTTGCCAGGCATGGTGGCACACTCCTGCAAACCCAGCAACTCAGGAGGCTGAGGCAGGAGGATCTCAAGTTCAAAGCCAGCCTTAGCAAAAGTGAGGCCTTAAGTGTCTCTAAATAAAAATACAAAAAACAGGGCTGGGGTTGTGGCTCAGTGTTAGAGCACTTGCCTAGCACATGGATGACACTGGGTTCATTTCTCAGCACCACATATAAATAAATGAATAAGTAAAGGTCATAAACATCTAAAAATGTGTTTTTAAAAAATTTTTTAGTTGTAGATAGACATGATGTCTTTATTTTATCTAATTTTTTTTAATGTGGTGCTAAGGATTGAATCCAGTGTCTCAGGCATGCGAGGCAAGCGCCCACCACTGAGCCACAACCCCAGCCCCTAAAAAATATATTTAAAAAAAATAGATAAATAGGGCTGGGGGTGTGGCTCACTCGTCGAGTGCCCCTGAGTTCAATCCCTGGTTTCAAAAAAAAAAAAAAAAAAGAAAAATTTCTACTTGTAGTGCCACAGTTGTTTATTTCTGAGTTTGGATTCATAGATGACTGGCAACTTCTGAAATAACCCTATTGAAGGGAGAATTTTAATTTTTTTTTTTTTTTTACAATTTACTGGAAGAAAAGAAACATGTTACATGTTTTTAAGCAGCTGAAAAAAAATCCTAGATACAAGCACATCTGGTCATGACACCGCCTGACTCTTAGTGTACACACTAAAAAAAGCTTACTGATGAATGTTAAGACACTTATCAAAAAAAATAAGATCATATCTAACTAGGAATATTTGATTTGCCTCCTTTGACTGCTTTGGTATTAAAAAACCAGGGCTCTAGGCCAGGCATGGTGGTGCACGCCTATAATCCCTAGGGCTCAGGAGGCTGGGACAGGAGGATCGCGAGTTCAAAGCCAGCCTCAGCAATGGCCAGGTGCTTAGCAACTCAGTCTCTAAATAAAATGCAAAATAGGGCTGCGGGTGTGACTCAGTGGTAGAGCACTTGCCTACCACGGTGAGGCACTGGTCGAATCAGAACCACAGAAAAATAAAATAAGGGTATTGTGTCCATCTAACAAAAAAAAAAAAAAACAAAACAGGGTTCTGACCCCAGCATACCAGTAATCCAAGTAACTTCAGAGACTGGGCAGGAAGATCACAAATTTGAGGCCAGCCTGGGCAACTTAACAAGACCCTGTCTCAAAGGGCTGGGGATGTGGTTCAGTGGTTAAGTGCCCCTGGGTTCAATCCCTAGTACCAAAAGAATTTTTAAAACCAGGGCTCTGAGTGTGTTTCTATAATTTAAATTGGATGTGGTTGTTCTTTCTGTTAATGAGATTCCCCACCCATTCTTAAGTAAAGAAACATTTTTCAATTATGAAAATGAGGTATATTCAGTCTTAGCAAATTTGCTTTTCAGCTTTTAAAAATACAACTGAAGCCAGGCAGGCATGGAGGCACAGGGCTGTTATCCCAGCTACTCTGAAGACTGAAGCAAAAGGATTACAAATTCCAAGGCCAGTGTCATGGATTGAGCAGGATCCTGTCTCAAAAACAAAAAAGAGTGGTGATGTAGCTCAATGGTACAGGATTTACCTAGCATTTTCCAAAGTCCGGGATTAAATCCCCAGGACCTCTATATATATATAAACTGGTAGAAATTTTTATACAGCTTATAGTTTACAGGTATTTTTTTTCAATTTTTTTTCTAGTTGTATATGAACAGCAGGCCTTTATGTACTTCCATGTTGTGCTAAGGATTGAACCCAGGGCCTCAGACATGCTAGGCAAGTGTTCTGCCACTGAGCTGCAGCCCCAGCCCTACAATCAGTTTTGTTAAGGGAAACGTGGGCCATTTTAGTAAATGATTACTTCCACAAACTGTTTATATAAAAAAAAAAAAAATAAGGGCTGGAGACATGGCTCAGTGGTAGAGCTTAGCATGTTGAAGCCCAAGATTCCATTCCCAAAACCACAAAACAAAATAGAAAATTTCAAAATATATGTTATAGTACCACAAAATGATGGTGCTTAGAAAACTGAGGAGGCAGCTGGGAGCCTTGGTGCACACCTGTAAATCCCAGCGACTCAGGAGGCTGAGGCAGGAAGATCACAAATTGAAGGACAGCCTCAGCAATTTAGCAAGGCCCTTTACAATTTAGTGAGTACGTTTCTCAAAAATGAAAAGGGCAGGCTGGGCATTATGGCTCAATGGTAGAGTAATTACCTAGTGTTCAGGAGGCCCAAAATTCAATCCCCAGCACCACAAAAACATATAAAAAGGGCTTGGGATATAGCTCAGTATAAAACATCCCTGGGTTCAATCCCCATTACTGAAAAAAGAAAACTAAAGAGTCATGACAGGGCTGGGAATGTGGCTCAGTTGGTAAAGTTCTTGCCTTGCATGCATTGGCCCTGGGTTCAATCCCTAGTACCACCAAAAAAAAAAAAAAGAGTCATGACAGATGATATACATATATGAAACTTTAATCACAAGTCATTATGAAGTTCTCAACAATCATAACATTTTTTTTTCCTATAGATGTGCTTCACACACGCATGGATAAACCATTTACCCTTGATTTTGTATCTCAGGAACAAATCTGACTTATTAGCACCATTACTTGTAAACTGCTAACCTGGTTCCCTGTGCTGTTGTAACATTATCTTGATGGGTTGCTGTGAATATGTGAAGATGTCTGTCAGGCAGGAAAAATTATGTAAAAATGATGTGAGCATAGAAAATGAAATCAACAAAAATGTAATAAACTCCTCCTGGGCTGAAAAATAAGAATTTTTTTCCAAGCCCAACCCTCAGCCACTGTCTGCCTCACACCAAATTATTTATCTGGTTTTCACACTAAAGAAGTAAGCCATGTATAATTTCAGTGGTTAAATTATTATTTTTTACAGTATTTGTTCAATCCTAATTTATTTTCAAAATGAAAATGATGTTACACTTTGTCCTGAATAAGCAAACATTGCTTTTAGTGGTAAATGTAAGTTATAATGGTTGTTCCTGAATAGATAAAACTTCTATTTTGGAAGAGAGAACCTGTAAATATATTTCAAAGGTACCTTGTAGGCAGATATCATGGGTGAGATATTCAATGAATATAGACCAAACACATTTGTGTCTTTCCACAATATAAGAATTTATGGGATAACAATAAATTCACAGGCTACATATGCAGTGACAGCTTAGCAAATATTCATGGGTTACCTGATAATCATAAGGCCAGTGATCACAGGTTCTTTTATTCTAATCGTAACCACTAATATGTATAACACTCAAGTCCTATATCATATGTTACACAAATGTATATATATATATATATACTTATGTTTGTGTGTATACACATACACACACATATTTTAACACAGAAAGGTGAGGTAAGGGTTAAGTCAGTCACAGGGGTTTTGGAGGCCACACTGAGAGCCAAAGCCAAGAACAAATACAAATGCAAAAGAGTCACTACAGATGGTCAGATGAAGGTTTAGAACCTGCCAAAGCAGTGGTACCTGCCTATAATTCCAGGGAGTCTGGAGGCTGAGGCAGGAGCATAGAGAGTTCCAGGCTAGCCTCTGCAATTTAGGGAGACCCTTGCTCAAAAAGGGCTGGGGATGTAGCTCAAAGGTAGAGCGCCCTGGGTTCAGTCCCCAGAACCACACATACAAAATAAGAACCAGTCAAAGAACTTGTTCAGGATGTGCAGTTGTCAGAGCTCAGAATTTATTCTAGGCTAGAATGGGGAGACAGAGAGTTGGAAGAGTTCAGAGGTTCATCCCTTGTCAACCCCCTTCACAGCATGGTCTGATGACCTCCTTCACAGGATAGTCTGATGACAGGTTGGTGTGTCTCTGTAAAGTCTTGGGGTGCTTCTCCTCTTACGGGTTTCAGATGAGGGGGGAACATCCGGAGAGGTTGCTAAACCCACCACCAGCCTGTTTTCTCTGACATGGACCAACACACCCACACAGCCACGTGCTTCTGATTTAATTTGGTAAGCGCACAATTAATTTATCAATGTGCGCCTTATGGTTGTTCTGTGCAGATGGTGGTTGTTTACTTGTACAAACAAGGTATAGAGCCATTCAACCTTGGTACTTGAACTCAAAATGGAATAAGTCATGGCAAACTACTGCTTCACAGAATGAAATAACTCAGAGCTAGGCACAGTCTGATAACTGCTGTTCTATTCATCATGGAGTAACTCAGGGCAGGGCACAGCCAGATGTGCACAGGAGGCTCCAATGTTAGATTGAGATAATATGGAGTTTTAATAACACATTTTACTTTCAATGTAGCCTTTTACTCCAGTCCAATGAATTGTCCTTCATAATAAAACATCATCCTTAGGCTGAGGATGTAGCTCAGTGGTAGACAGACCACTTGCCTTGCTTGAGGTTATCCTCAGTACTGCAATGCACACACACACACACACACAGAGACATCTGGCTTACACCTGTAATCCCAAGCAGCTCAGGAGGCAGAGGCAGGAGGATCCCAAGTTTATGGCCAACCTCAACACCCTTAACAACTTAAAATTAAGCAAGACCCTGTCTTAAAGTTAAAAAAAAAAAAAAGGACTAGGGATGTGGCTCAGAAAGTCTCTTCCTGGGTTCAATACCCAATATCACCTC